TTATTTCCGTCACTTGTACAGTCGATTACGATTTAGTACGTGTGGAATTGCTGATCAGCTGCAAGGTCAGCTGGTACTGAAAGTCCCCATCATTTCAGCTCTAACAACGAGAAAAAAAAACACCTATTTCTCGGCAACATCCACCTACTAAGAGCCAATAGTATCCCAGCTTGAAAAATAATTGAAAATATGAGATATCTGTTGTGAGAGTGCGATGTTTTACACAATTTTTATGGACGATTGTTTGCCAAAAGATTTTGTAATAACTTTGGAAAGATGACCTTCAGCATGAGTAATGAGGCGAAAATTGTTTTCCTCGATTCCTTGGTTAACATATCTGATATATTCCTATTTGAGGTTACATCTCGGCGACACTCCTTGAAATCAAGAAAGACTCCCAAAATTGATTCTGTTCTTAATCAATTATAGAAATTATGATGTGCCACAGTCAAGAATAAAATAACAGAGATAATTTGTTTTGTATGTCACTAAATTGCATGATTAAGGGTAATGTAAAGTATTTTAAGAGGGTTTTTTTTTTCATTGCTGATGAATGCTGTAGCTTGTGCATGGAGCTGGTGTTTTTATTTGCACATTTGCGCGGTAAGTGGTAGAGCCGAGAAAACGAGAGGCGAGACTTGGGCCTAGGATACTTTTAGGGAAGGCCAGTTTCCTACGTAGCCGGTGTACTGAGAAGACAGTCTGATTGCGGTATAACGAATTATTTTTTTACTATCGGTAGGACTGTGGTCCACTTGTCATAATAGACTTTAAAACTTTGAAGCCCATTTGTTTTCAGTCAATCACACGTGTATTCCTCTCGCGCGCATTGTTCTTGTCCTCCATAAGGGCTTATCTCCTGTACGCAAACCGCAAGTAAAAAATTTTTCGTAACAAAATAAATTTCCACTAAACCAATGTTAGGATTACATTTCGCTTCAACTGATGAAAGATAATGGTTATATTTCAAATAGTATGCAATACTGAATAAGGTAAAGGCGAGCGAAATGTAAGGTACTGCTGATGTGCGTGGAAGTGAAAATACTAAAACGAAAAATTTTTCTAGCGATTGGAAGTGAAAACACCAGTTTTCACTGGTAATGGTCAACAAAAGTACCAACATACAGGTGTACAATGAAAGCAAGCAACAAAGCAAAAACCTTCATTGTGACTACACTAAGACGAGTTATTCAATGTAAAAAGTTTATTTAGGACGAGTCAGCCGTCTTGAAGTACAAGCATCCTAATATCATCTTAACATGTGTACACTGAAAACTAAGGGTTCTACAAAAAGAACCTGTGCTACGCCAGATACGAAAAGCCACTAAAAAACCACACTTTAGAAGTGGCCAAAAAAATGTGTGGAAACGTATTCCTCATCTAATGCAGCAGCACAATACCCCGAGGAAAGGGTAAACTAATCTGGTTACTCTGCTTATCACAAAGAAAAATCAATGAATGTCGTGATATTTTACAGGGATTTGGAAAAAGAAAAGTACATCAATACGAAAAAAAAAGAAAAGACTGACCGAATCATTTAGAATGTCTTAATTTTCTAGCGAAACCCTTAAATAATCCAAAACTTCCATGATGCCATACAAACCTCTCCAGCGTGCCAGCAGAATATTAATTTCTGACTAATTTGTTCCCATGTCACTCAAACGTCAGAAATAACATTAGTTTACTATTCTAAAACTACTGTGGCTTTTTATATATATTTTTTGACATATTAGAATGAAAGAACTTGAATGAACTCGATTAAATTGGAAATGGTTCAATATGAAAAGTTTTATGAGTAAATATGTTCCAAACAAACACACGGAAAAATCAGTAAATTTTCCCTAACACCATGCTCTGTTTCAGCTAAAATCTTGAAAATGGCCCGGTGCAATTAAAATGACGCATTCTAGCAGCAGACGTATGTTTGCCTTTTACAACTGCGAACAAATGAGTTGTAAAGTAACAGAGTGTCACGGAGGTCAAAATCAGACCCACAAGCATATGTTTTCGCCATTTCTTCTTCCACACTTTCACTACAGCAACATTAAGATATGACATTTGTAGCCAAAATGAGAACGAATTGAAAACGAAATCGATGGTGAGTGCAATGGACACGCGGATGAAGAACTCCCCAACCAAACCCAGGTCAGAGAAGGCCAGACTATTATTGTTGTACATGAACCTATACAGTTGGATGAAGCCAACCGCTGCTATCAACGCAGTCGATTCTCCGAGGATCATCTGAATGCTCATGTCGGCAATAAGACGCATGCTTCTGGGCGTTCGAAATCTGTCCGCCCTTAACGCGTCTTCAGCGTTAGTGTCACCTTTACACTTTTTGTAGATAAAATACCACAGATAATCCCGCACAACAATGGTTAATCTTTCCAGTAAGTCAACTGCACTGTGAAGAAAGCTCAGAGCAATGAACAGTTGAAGACTCGTCAGTTCTGCTTGCATGACGCGAAAAACGATCGCAGATGCGCTGTATAGAACACTCAGTAGGACATGGGAGTCGCCGGGATGGAGAAAATCGATCCTTTGGGCCGCCAATCGGACGATGACCTTCGGTACAGCGGTCACCAAAGGAAGTGCGCCAGCTATAACGGCTCTGTTCGTCTCATTCTGTTGACCGTATAATGGAATCAATACGTAAACAAGAACTAAAGCGATAGGAATCCCAAATGCCAATTGCGCTGCGAGTATAGAGGAAACCTTGAGGATTTTTCTAAGTTTTCTTCTTCGATCCCTGGCTGTTATTTTAGCAATTTCTCTTCCCACTAGAACAGAATTCAGCAGAACCATAGTTAGAAATAAAGCGTTTAAAGGAAAAGACATCCATGACTTCTCGTATATTTCAAAGACTTGGAGGTACAGCCTGTAACAGGTATCGAAGAATGCTCCCAGTAGATTAAGAACTAATAGATTAAGTCTTTTCACTAATGGCCAGCTAAACATTGTGATTACCAGAAGAAATGGCCACATCTGGACTACATATGCTTCCAGTGTCTCGGCTGTCACAATAATGGCCTGAATCTTACGAGGTAACGAGTTCCAGTGACCATGCAACTGTCTGTCGTAGCAAAGATCTACGGAATTAAAATCCAAAACTAAAATCAATAGAGCCAGCGAGCCGAGAGCTAAACCTCCTATAATTTGAATAAAGAAAACACATTTCACGGCCTTCCAAAGCGACATCCACCATCTTGGCGGTCGAGATCTCCTCCAGCCCATTTTACTGTCGTCTCCTGGTGGTGGATCGTACTCCTGAAAAATTGTATCATTATCGACATTATCAAAGTTTCGGAAATCCTCCAAAGGGTCTCTTCCTTGTATCAGCGGAGCACCTTCGAGAAAACTTTGTCCCTGATAAGACTGAATCACACCGGCAGTGAATGTTTCCGTCACGTAGGCAAATACGCCTTCGAGTGTAAAGGACGCCATGCATTCAACTGAATTCCGTTTGTGCAAGAAGACTGTGTTATGTATTAAAGATTCTTAGGACCCACAGCTGCACCTATCACAGATACAAACTGAAACGTCGAATCTGGGAAACTGAGCGACTATATAAACCGAAAGTAGATTCTTCTTCAGGCCTCTGTAACTAGATATCAGTTGACCCAAGTATGTTGACGTTATCTGCTCTTTTCGTTTATGTCTTCTTCCGGGCGGTGTGCACACTCTGATGTTGCATCATGGTCGTAAAACAAAAAGCGAGTCATTTGCATCCTGTCGCGGTCGAGTGAACATCTCCGGCGACATCAAGTTTTTTTTATCATGAAATAATCAGTTTTATTTTTACTATTTTAAAGAATTTTACCGTATTTCGTTGAATAAAAATCAAAGTTCCGAAAATTATGGCTGGTTTCCAGTTATATCTTCTACCAAGCGTGAATTAAAGTTCTAGTAACTCAGACAATTACACTCCCTATAATACGCATGATCATTTCGTCAATGACGATGCCAAAAATGATGGCGAAGTTCAACAAGATATAAATATTCAGCTCGTTTGGGGAATCAATGTTAAAACATCCTCTTACAGGAGGATGGAGGGAGATCTATGACTTCGATAGTGGGAAGCACAGTGTTCTTAAATGTAAAAATTACAAAAGTAGTCAAAATAAAAGTAAAGAGCACATGCTTTTTCCATTTCTTCTTCCAAACATGCACCACAGCAACATTTAAGTAGGACATTTGTAGCCAAAGCAAAAATGAATTGAAAACCTTTTCTAGACAAAGTAGCAAAAATAAACTAACACAACAAGATACTTAGAACTGTTAATCTTCCAAAGCGCCATGTGCAAAGCTCAGTATGATGAACATTGGGAGATTCTTGAGCTCTGATTGCAAGACGCGGAAATTATATCACATGTAAAGGAAAAAAATACCACGAGCAAAAAAATAATTTAGTTTGTTAGCCAGTAGCTATCCAAACATCACAAGAGTAAAACTGAATAGAAAGAGCTCAATGATAAAAAAAAAAGCTCCCATGTTTGGCACAGTTATTCCATTCTATGTTTTTCTGATGAAAAAAACCGGGCGACATGACTCGGATTTTGGTTGACCTGACTCTAGTTTCAGGCGACATGACTTTTGGGTGACTGGACGGTAATGAAGGGGTAATTTTCTAACGAAACTGTGGTGCTGCGTCGGTGGGATTGTATAACAGGGTAATTTAGTGTTATCAACTGAGTTGAAAACGTAAATTGGCCACCGTAAAGAGTTTAAAGGAGGCCATTTCGAGCGTTAGCCCGTCGTCTTACAGGACAGTAAACCTACCAAAATTTTCGAAGACCACCCGAAAAGCTGTTCTGATGTTGCCCAGGTTTTTTTTAACATTCCGTCTTAATCTACTTGCTTCAAGAGAAAATCTCCTTCCAACCTGTCATATCATGAAACGGCGAAGGCAGATAAAGGGAGAACGATTGTGTTGTGGGACATTGTGTGTGTGCTTACATGTACTGATAATTTTGAAGCCTTAGTCTCCTTTACAGCCGTTTATGGGAATGTCACGCAACGTGGAGGAGTGTTGCGTGACATCCCATCCTACTTTGAAGGAGACTACACTTAGTCACAGGATGGCAACTGAAAATTCTCACGCAGCACATACTCTGAAGCCATATCCATATCAGGTGGCTGGACATGCGGCTCAAGGTGAGCCTATGAATAAGATAAATTCACAATACGTTAATTTGTACTCGTTGAGCTCACGAAAAGTTTTGTATGTTCTTCAGTGTTAACTTAACGTGATCGATTCTCCTCCATATGCACAATTTACCTCATTGGTACTTAATTTCGCGATTTTAGCGGAACAGTATTTCTCGGAGTGTAATGTTCGCGATTTTAACGGGAAAAAAGGGGCATCGGATTTCGCGATTTAAGCGTTCTCAATTTAATTTTATTTTCGAAAAGTCTGAACTTTAAACCTTCGGCCAGTTTTGCGGGAAGTCAATAAAAATATCTGTTGGTGTGAAAAGTGCGTAGGAAGTTATTCAAATACATTGAAAGGTTGGAGGAAAAGGAACTCACGGGATTGTAAAATACCACACACAATTTTTATTTAATTTTTAATACTTGTGGCAGATGGATGACGATGTGACACCAATAAAATGAAAGCATTTGAAAGGTAGTCACTTTGTTAATTACTATTTCATTTTCAGAATGCTACTGAAGGACAATATTCTCAGAATGTAGAATTTCAGCCGAAGATTAACAGTCAGTTAACCTGAGATCATTACAATTCTTATTTTTAGGGGCATTGAAATTGACTGATGATGGATGTGTCCTTAAACCAGTTCAGAGACCTCCAAAGGGGATGAGAGAAGTTGTTTTCTATGACACAGTATTCAACCAAAGCGAAAAACGAGAGGAGATACTACAGCTTAGAAGACTTTTGCCTTTTTATCATGGGATTGTGGAAATAGGTATCCTTAACCCTTCTTCTTAAAAGGAAATAGAAATTACTGTCTCTTGTATTTTACTTGTTTTATCTTATTTTAGGTAGTAACTTGGAAAAAGTTGAAAATTTTGTGAGCATTGCCATCACAACTTCTAGAATTCGGATTAAAACAAAAACAAAAAACAAATCAATCTGGAAGCTTGTTTCCAAGATTTAATGCACCAATCAATTCAAAGCTTCAACATCCCACCCACCCCCCCTTGGGAGTGGGAGGCATTTGAACCAAATGTGTGAAGTCTTTTCAGCATTATATGTGTTTTAATAGAAGGAGTAAAATGAAGGAGTAAAAAGAGAAAAGGTAAAAAGTGTGTTTCCATGAGTGGAGTGATACTTACAAGCAAAAAATCCAACAGCAATACCAAAAACTAATATGTTACTTTAAAGAATTCAACAACATTTGTTGATCACACAAAGAATTGTTCGATATGTAGTGGGGCATTTGAATCAGGGAGTCAGAATTTGAATTGGGGGGGGGAGGGCTGTTGAAACTTTGAACAGATTAATCTTACTGTTTTCCTTTATTTTCAGTTTAGAAATAAGTTTATTACATCTGGTATTTATTTTTTTTAAATTTAAAATTTAAAATTTTTTCTCTTAGACATCTGAGTTATCATTTACAGTCCAATAAGACCTTTACAGCTTTGAAATAATTCTGAAGCCACAAATGATCTAGTACTGCAACTGATAATTATGGATAACCCAAAAAAGAATCCTTGTTAATAATTCAAGTGGTATGAATTTTTTTCATCTGAAGTTTTGCAAACAGCTAATTCATTAGAACAGTAAGGCTTAAGAATCAGAGAAAGATAAATTAAGATCCTTCATATTGATACAGGGGTATTATGAATGAATCGTACATTCATTAAAGAGGTTTGCCTAAGAGGACATTGATTCATAATATAAGCCCTGTATTAATACAAACACTTTTTTAAATATTTCTTCCTCTAATTTATTTAGAATCTGTTTGTTTAATGTTTGTTAGTCCCAAGTTTGCAATGAAGTAGCTACTTCTAGTACCTTAGAAAAAAAAATCAACACCTTTTCAGATTTTTTGAAAGGATCATTTGTGTACCTGGAATCATTTGCACTGCTGTACAGAACCAAGGATGGGATCAAGGAGACATTTCAGGCATCAAAAGATCAAGTTCTTGATTATGATTTGTAGATTTCTTTCTATTTTGTTATGCTTCTTGATCCCTGGCCCAAAAAATACTAGCAGTTGTAGTGTTAACATCATCATCCACACATCAGACAATCTAGTTAACTGAACTGGCCTGATCCCTTTTATCTCAAGAATTTCCAAATTTCACACAAAGAGTAGTAGTTAATATCAAACAACTACCTTCCAAAACATTACTTTTGTTTCCATTTTTGTACCACACAAATCAGAGGGCAAGGGGTCCTATGGAATAAATATCTTTAGTTTATACCAAAACAGTGGATAGGGTTGAAGGTCTGTTCTGATTGGCTACTCAGGTTTTAAATATCCTCTGCTATTCACCTATAAGTTACTCATGCGAGATTTGTGCTGAAAAATATTGTAATAGTTACAGGGATGAATGAGTTAAAACGATATTTTTGTGCTAAATTATCGCACTGTTGTAGTGTATGCAACTATTCCTAGAAGTGAAGGTGGCTAGTGGTGGATATTTACCTCATGGCATTGTTGCTCAGTAAATATCCACCGATAGCCACCTCCACTTCAGTGAATAGTTGTTTACTACCAGGAAGGGAGTTCTGGAAATGTTTAGTATGGATAAGTAAAAGATCCTTGGGATTGTCTCACTCATTAATTCCATCTGGCTTGTTTGCTTCAGAAATGCTATGGGAATGCACTAAAATCTTTGAACAAACAGTTAGCAGGCCCTTAATGGTTGATTTTAGATACATCAAAGTATTTAAAACTGGAGAACATAACAAACAAATTTGATTTGCCATGTGTGATGGACATTAAGATGGGAAGAGTGACATGGGAAGACAATGCAGATGAAACATTTAAGGAAAGAAGACAGAAAAAATGGCCACTGAGGGAAGTCACAGGTTTCAGCATTCTTGGATTTATGGTATGTTTCAATGATGTTATGTTAACAAATTACTGAACACAAAGAAAAGTTTCTTTTGATATTTCTGTTAATTTTCTCTTGAAACCAATTTCTAACATAGCCTTTGGTTGCTTCTTTAAATTATGATGACAAAGGCATTCAACAAACCTTAATGAGGAGACAAGCAAAATACATATGTGTTAATGACCAACTGAGGGGTCACACTGACAGGATAGTAGCCTTGTTCTTTTTTTGGTGTTTTTGTGGACCTCAACTTTGTCTTGGTCTATAAAAACACAAAAAAAAGAATCAGCCAATATCCAGTCATTGTCACCTCCGCTTGGTCAATAATGCATGTCTATTTTGCTTGTTTGTTGTGCACACTTATCACAGGCTGTCTTGCTTTGCGGCATAAAGGGTGAGGTTTATTTCATTTTCCTCATTTTTTGCGCTCATTTTCCTCAGTAGCTATCTTGGTTTACTAGCTAAAATTACTCTTAGCTTTGTTTAATTTGTAAATTATTTACTATCAGGTCTACAACCACCAAAAGTGTTGCCATGAACACTACGATCGTGAATGGTGCCAGAAGTTGTCTACAGTACAGGATGCTGAAAAATGTAAGATTTCTAATATTTTTTCTATTCATGATGTATTATATACTGAAACTGCTTGGACTTGACAATCTTGGTGAAATATGTAATACTTGTTTGTCAATTAAAGACAATTATATAATTGCCCAAATAATGTTGGAAATCAAAACCACTCAATAGTTCTTGTCAGAGCCTGTTGAAGTACTTCTGGGATTCAATAATCTCAGATCCAATCACACTTGTTCATATTTCAGCAATAGAGAGAAGACAGCAATTCACGTGATCATCTTGATTGAAACAGAGTAGGGGTGATATTCCTGGTTTTAGGATTTCATGTTTTCATTGCTTATTACCATTTTTTGTTGTTAAAACATAAGCCCTAAGATCTCACTCTTAATTGTTCACAGGCTTTCATCAGTATTTAGGAGGTGTACAGTTTGATATGACATCGGACATATTGGGGCAGCTACTTACAAACCTTATGGATATCAAACAGTGGTTCACAACTCAAAGACTCTTCAGGTTTATTGCAAGCTCTATCCTTATTGTATATGAAACTAACTGCTCATGGAAGTTGGGAAAACACCAGAAATCCCACAAACAGTCTGAAACAGTGGAAAACATGCATCAGCGTTCCCCAACAAACTTTTTAGTTGATACAAAAATAATTGACACTGCCCATGTATTTCCATCAACAGATATTGATGATAATTATTTATTTGGCTTGGAGAATTTAATTTCAATATTTGAGAAATGTAGACAAGAATATGCTGTCAATTAAAGATTCAGCAAGGTAAAGCTGTGAATGAATGAATGAATGATAATGGATCATTCCTTCACAGGCAAGATAAACAAACTTTTTATCTTGAAGTCCTTTTGATTGAAACTTTGATGGACACAGCTTATTTAACTTTATAGAGATTTCTTCGGACACCACACAAAGACGCATTTCGCTAATCCCAGCAGTTTCGTTCTTTAAGTTGTGGTGATAAACAACTATTTACCGAAGTGGAGGTGGCTAGAAGTGGATATCAGGATATAGTAGTGCGGTCAGATAATATGTCAAAAAAAGATGATTCTAACTCAGTTATTCCTGCAACGATTACAATATTTTCGGATGCAAATTCCGCGCGAGTTGCTCAGAGGTGAAAAGGAAGGAAGAAAACCCCTTCTGGCGGCTGGTATGTTGGCTGATAATGTCCACAGCCGAGACATTGTTCGAAAAATGAATATTTGGTCGAGAAGTGATATTCGAGTTTGAGTAGCCAATCAGGGTGTACCTTCAATGTTATCCACTGTTTTAGTAAATCTTAACCACTTTTATCTCCTACCGCATTCCTTCTCGATGATTACTTCTTCTGCATTTGGAAGTTGTCCCTTACCAACAAATTTAAGGTAAATTTTTCATATGACGACTAGCGACTCAAGCTCTCTCGTGATAAGTAAGACACAATGTTTTTCACCGGGTACTGTGCCCGAGGCTTTGCACTACTTTGGACATGTGTATTTTGCAGATTCGAATATGACAACCTTCTTGGCTTCTTCGTTTGGTGCCTTCTTGGAACACACACCCGTTCAAAGTTGAATGCTGTGATTGGTGATCACGTTCTTCGTCTGCAATGTGTGTCAATCTTGTCTATCCTCGTTTCTTGCTGGTAAATTCTTTTATATTTTGTTGTCATATGTTACCTGTTCATGGTTAAAATTTTTTCGCCACCAACAATTTCGGTAAATTGTGATGCTAAACTGAACACATTCTGTTAACAACATTACAATTTCATGTCCGAAAGTTAATAATTTGGAAGGAATGTTACTGCATTATTTTCAGTCTGTTTCAAGAGAAAAATTCTTGATTTGGATCATAATTTGGACTCAAGAATTTTCAAGGAAGTATCCCAACAGCAATGCATGCTGGCCAGATCAATAACAGGTAGCTTAGGTTCGCACAGCGAGCCTGCGTAAAAAATGAAGAAAAATGGTATTTCTGACGATTGAGTCTGTGAATAAGGCGGAAATAAATATTTTGTCGACACGAGATACGACAAGGCCTAGGCCTTAGGCCCGAGCATCATGGGTAATGATGCAGTGGTATACAAGGGGAAAGTATAGCACGTGACGTCCATCTAGCCTTGAGAACCAACCTTGCACCTTTGGCTGATGCCAAATTTATTTTAGTTGAAAAACTTATTTTGTTTAACTCTGAAGCCTCGTAGGATTGCCTGCTACCTGCTCTAAGTTTGACCATGGTTCCTACTCAGATTTCTAGTTACGTGTTTTCCCCAAAGGGATTTTTTCTGGAAGGTTTTTCCTGACCTCTGTATAACCGTAGTAGTGCCCTTGTAATCGGTTACCCATCTCTGTTAATCCCGACTTGGTGAAGTTAACACACTAGTGATGTATACCTATTTTTGAATGTGTAAGGAGTTGATTGTATATCAGGATTGTACATGGTATATCAATTGCGAATGTGTGCATGTATGTATGCCTCGGGTTGGTTCTCGGCAGGCTTCCCTAAACTTATTTGATTTACACTACTGTTACTTTTTGTGTAGTGGAGACAAAATTATGCCAGCATGTCTATAATGCTCAACAGGCGAAAGTTTGGGACCTGAATGGAAATGAATGGTTGCAAAGTAAACGATTTAAAAACAAGCTAGACGGCCGGAAATCATTCTAGAAAACTCGCAAGATGCGAGGGAATAAACGCCAAGGCGAGGTAACTTGGTTTTCATTCGAATTTCAATTAGATTGCGACCATTCAGTCTTAAAAAAATCATTCCCTTTCGCCTGTGGTGCGACATACACATATTTATAAATTGTGCAAGCTTGGGCTACCTGTAGATATCTCTCACTACCCGAGTTCGAGGCGCGTACTGTAGGTTACCGATTAAGTTATTTCTGCTCGGATTTGTGGCTCAAGAGCGAAGCAAGAAAAACAAGTTTAGTAAGTTATGTATCATATGTTTGCGTTCAAATGTGAGTGAGAGGATTTCAATTCAAACAAACTTTTGAATTCAGCGGGGCGTACGATGGAATTCGGCCTGCAAAATTGACCAATCATGGCGCATGTACTGGCCTTGAGATATATCCTTAAAAGATGACATCACAACAATAATTGGAATCGCAATTTCAAATTCTTCAAACATTTTACCACAAATTAAAAGGAATAAAAGTAACTCTGAAGTAAGCCCAAGGTGCAAAACATACCAACGTGGACCAATCTACGCAGACACTCGAATTTTTTTCCGATGAGTTCAGTTAATCGAGGAGTTCTTAGAAAGCTTTTCGAATAAGTTCAAAGTAACATGGAGCAAACAATGAGAAAGAAGTGACGTAAAATGTCAGCGACTAAGTTGCGACTGTTTTTGATATGGCGCGATATTTCTTAACCGAACACAGAGCCAGGTGAGTGAAAACAATCCCGGATTGCATCCGACATGCAATTAAAACTGGTTCTAAAGGACTGAGTCATCATTATCATTATATATATATAAATATATAAAGTAAGGCACAAATGCTAAAATGAACTTCTACATCAAATGCCTGATAAGTCAGTTTATATAGAATCTTTTAAACACAGTGATAGGAGAAGAACCACTCTAACAGTAAAAAATCTGACATTTCTTGCTATCATTGCTGCGACGCACAAATCATAACTTTCCGTGAACCTCATCTTTCAACAAATTTACATCAATAATCCTTGTTACTTGGTTATCCTATGAGTAATTCATTGAATTTTTTACATCACTGAAAGGAACCTTTTATAAAACACGAACACATCACAACTACTTTTTCCCGTTGTTTACAACTAATTCACGTGATCTTGGCCTGATACATATATCTCTCAATTTGTTTTTGATTGGGTTCCCGGTCATTTCACTGGATTCATGATCCTGATGAGGGCCTGGGTCCATGCACCGTCGTGCCAGGGGAAGACTGAGTCCGGTGCGCTCTCTGAAAACGGAAAAAATATGGATTGAGGAAGTTGCCTTTAGCACACGTTCAATGCTTTATAATCGTTTACAACGCCTAGTGTACAAAACAAGTGTTGTGGTGACTTGATATGTAATTTTTCGCGCCACGGTGTACACAGTGACGGCAGGAATAAAGTTTGCAAAGGTGCATATTTGGTTTGATGGCTGAGAGTCGCCTGTTCGATACGTGAGAGGGAGGTACTTCATTTGTTTTCAAACTCGAGAATGTGTTTTTCTTTTCTTACAAAATGTTATAGAATACAAGGTTCCTCGTATTACACGATAGTAAATTTCGCCCATCTAAATACATATCGAGTAAAATTACTCTGAACATTTCATCCGTATATCCTATGAATTTGACCCTTCAGAAGGTGAGAAACATATCCTTTTTAAAAATTTCAATCTATCAATCTATACCTGCACTGTGTGAGTAGGCGGTGAAGAATTCGCGGAAGAATGGGACCCACTCAGCCTTTCATTAGAAGGATATCTGGGCATGCGCGGTGAAGGTGGAGTGAAGCCGTAACCTGAAAGATATAAGGATCACTTCACAGGAAATGCGCACAATGTAAAATTATTAACGTGTTGAGAAACACGAGAAAACGACGATTGAATCAATTTATTTCATCGAGGTACAAGGATTTAACGTGTAAAGAAAACATCGCCAGGCGACATATTATCTATAAATTACCGAAAATCTTCGACTCTTTTAAAAGAGTGATAAATACGTAACTTTTCTGTGCAATGTCAATAAAGAAGTATCAGTCTCAAAAACAAAATTGTTTGCTAATCGTCTCCTTATTTTGACATACAACTGTGATTCCCTTGTCTATACATCAAAGCGTATCACAATCTCAAAAACTAAATGGGTGGTCTCTGAGATTCCGTTCAAAAGGGTATCTGCATTACAGCCTGCCTGCGCAGCAAATCATCCCGACAAAATGTTTTCCAATGGTCAACTATCTGCTAGAAATTTGAACAGCTGGTTGGCAGGGAGTATAAAAGTCGGTAGTTGTGTTCTTGCAATTCTAGCTGCACCAACTCTCGAATTCGTTGAAAAAAGAAATAAGTTGCTCACCTGAGCAATCGCTTTCATATGCAAAGGGCTGTTCGGACAAAATCTATTATGCATGTAAAATGAATTCCGAGGGTGATGAAGAAATTTACGCAGGAGTATATTAACCACACAAGTGGAAGCAGCCAGTACCTGGAGATATGGGTCTGTTGGTAGTTAAGGGAAGAGGACTGGATGACGTCCGGTCTCTCATCGACTGAGTCCCATGCGAAGTCATCTCATTGAAGTGTCTGAACATTAAAACGTTGTCAAATAGGGGAATTAAAAAAACAAAATTAGAAGACTTTCAGCTGATTATTTATTTCTCTTTGACTCAGGGTTACGTCACAAGGGAAAAATCTCGAAGTGAGACTCTTTTTGGACATTAGCAAAGAGGGAATGTACCCAGACCCCCTCGCCATCGGGATACTAACCTTTCATCATCCATCTCCAAACTTGACTCACTCTCTGACAGCTGTCTACTCAGAGCTTCTCGTCTTTCCATCTCTCGCAACAGTTTTCTCTGTAATCTGATATTTTCTTCTTTAATGTGGCGTTCTTCCTTTGCATAGGCTGCCATCTTCTCACAATCTGAGGAACAGAGAAGGAGAAATGCTACCACTGTATTATGCTGAGTCAACACAACTCAGCATGGTAGGGGAGGGCAGTGGATAGAAGCTAACGCTTGGCTACTAACTAAGATTTGGGTTACTTTTAATAAATTCCATCTCTACAACATTTTTCAACAGATCACCTTCCAATCTGTTTTGAAAAACAGTTTCAACATGGTGGTCAGGGTTGTACTGGAACCAAGGTCCTCTTTCTCATTTTCATTACTCCCTGGGACGATTCCACAAACTGCGTCTCTTTTGCCGATTTTTTATTTATGGCATTGATCCATTTGAAGCTTCAACATCCTGCCTCCCTCCTCTACTGGGCAACCCCCCCGGGGCATTTGAACTAATGAAGATTGTTTCGTTCAGAAGCCCCACCCAAGAACCAGATTTGACGGTTAAATTTTTTTTTGGAAAAGGAAAAAAAAAGACCTTGACTCTAACATTGACCAAGCTTTAAAACCTAGACCTTGTAAACCTTTTTCATCTGAGCCATTCACTCGCAGCAGTGAACTCTTTATCTTAAAACACTTCCATATTAAAAGATATAGCATTTGTATTCCGCTGAGCGAGCTGGACACCTCCGGTTCAAATGCCCCACCCCCTGGCACGGACAACGGTCAAATGCCCATGGGTTGCACGGGGAGGGGGGTGTGGAAGCTTCGACTTCATCGGCGCATTATTCCCGTTGATGTTCAAAAGCCTTATTGACATAAAGCATTCATTTCCGACATACTGGATTTACAATATAGACCATAAAAATGCCGTTTAAAAAAGGACAAACAATAAAAAAACATGAAAACGACTTTCCGTCTTGTGTATCTGTTAAATTTTCTGACGAAATCTTGTTCCGATGTTTAACGGAAAATTCACGATCAGTCCCAAAAATGATAAATCTATAAGGAAGGTACTTACAATCAGCTTCAGACTTAGCTAGCTGTTGTTTTAATCTCCTTATTTCCTCCCTCAGTGACGTTATGTGAGAAGCTAAGTCCTCCACAGCGTCCTCTCCATCTGCAAACTGTCGGGGGGAGGGTGGCTCAGAAATGGGTTCTTCTAGCTTCTCTTGAAGCATCCTAAACACAGAAAAAGACAGTGTTTACGGAGATCTCAGGTTTAATACAAACGGATAACCTATCACAGTTGGGCAAGGGAGGGGGGGGGGGTAAGTACATGCATAAACCACAGGACCGTTATTCATAATTTTAGATAAAAGTGTGGGCGCACCATCAAACATATATAGGGTAAAAATAAATGTATTCTGGTGCAACATTTTGCTTTTGTAATGAATGAGCCAAGGGTATTCCGCTTTTCTATGAGCATATAAGAGAGAGTCACAATTCCTTCTTGATTTGACTCGCAGGTTCTGTCCAGTCTTCATGAAAACCACCAACCTTCCAATATCTAAAAAAATAATCCGTTCCTAAGTTTGATTCCAAAATGCTCGTCAAAACTTTAAAAACATTTTCATTCTGGATTAGCCATTTCTTGCTATTCACAAGACAGTAGGTTTTTTCTTTACTTACCTCCAAATAACTAGTTTAGGATCTCCAGGCATAAAGAAGAAAAGTAAGGCTAACAGCATACAACCTTGTAACAGTCAAAATACCACTTACAGGTGGTTGTCTCAAAACTATCAACTAAACCATCCCTTAACATTGCAATATTTGTAAGGGTATGAATTCCAATACATTCATATTCTAATACACATTTGTTGGTAATTCTTGTCACCGGCTTGTTGTAGTGACCTCTAGATTTCCATTTCTGCTAGTTACCTGACTGTATTTCATGTCACAAACACAGTTTCAAAATAAAAAAGAGAATGGTATAATTTCAGAGTCCTATATTTACCTTTTTTCTGCCTCCAATCTGTCCATCCTTTTCCAGAGTCTATTAACTAGTAATTCTTGTTCTTGTTCCAATGTGTTCTCAAGATCAACCTTTTCTTTTCTCAACTAAGGAGATGTACAAAATTAAAATTTTCTAGGTTGTCAATGGTTTGTCAATGGTTATCTACATTATTCCAAACCATAACAGGTTCAGAGCCATTTTAGCATATCAAAAAAATCAGGCTGCTCTGAATTGTATGTAAAGAATCATGAAAAAAACTTTGCAAAAAGCTTAGTCTTGATATGTTAATTGCAAATTGATACTGAAAAATTGAGCCACCCAACTTGTTTTAAGATGCAGTCACATAGAGCCAAAATTAAAGGTGTTTCAACAAGCCTGTAAAGTTTTATTTTTCATTTTTGTACCAAAAACGATCAAAACATTGTGACAATGACTGGACATACTTTTGCCACCATTTTTGAGGGACCACTAAAGAAAGCCAGGTAACATTGATTCATGAGACAGCTGTTGTTTAAAATCAGCAACACCATTTTGAGTCCCTTTGATTTAACAAATTAATTACCTGTTCCAAAGTGGTCTGTTTTGAAGTAACATCTGACTCAAGCTTGTCAATCTTCCTCATCAACTTGTTGACTTGATACTCTTGTTCTTGTTCTAATGTTTGTTCCAACTGAATCTTTTCTTGACGCAACTTAATTTCAAAGAATGCACATCAGCTACATTCTAAATGGCATACTGATCTTACATCCTTTTTCCAACACAAAAAAGCTCATAGCCCTTAGTTACCACACATTTGCTAGCCATTATTAAATTTATAAAGTATCCATGTAATTTTGCCTCTAAAAGTTCTAGTTTTCTTTCCAAGCTATACTTGTAATACTAACTAAAAGGAGTCAGAAACCCCACAGCAAAAATACATGATACAAAATTATTACTCCTTGTGAAATTTTGGAGTCTCACAGGCTTCCTTGGGTTCAATGATGCTCTATTTTCTTGACACACAAGTGTCCTTTATAGGCAACAAGCACAGACCTATTCACAGACCTATGCAAAGCAATGCTAAAAATGATACACCTCTGTTGACTTAACAGTAATTTCATGATACATTTACTGCAACACACAGAGACAAAATTTACACATTCTTCTACCACCTTAGAAAACAGAACATTGAAATACAGTTCCCATAGAATTTGAGTAAGAAGGAAGAATCAATGCTTCTTTAACAAACAAAACAAACACCACAAACAGTGAAGTATAGAGGACACATACACATCAATTAATCCTTTAACCAGACATCAAATAGATCAAGGAATGTTTACACGCTAAAAAAAAAGAGTGCTTCCTACCTGCATAAGTTTTCTTGACAAATCATTTGTGAGAAATTCCTCCTCTTGCTCGTAATTCATTGCCAAGGTTTCCTTCTCCTTCTTTAGTGACTGAATCTTTTTTAGTAAAGTGTTTGAGATAAATTCTTCCTCTTGTTCTGCTTTTGCTTGCTGTATAATGCATACAAAACCAATCTTAATATAATAAGCTTAATACCAGTAAGCAAACCCAATATACAATAAACCATGCAAAACTGACAAATGAAAAGTGCAACTATTTTGGGCTAATGAACAAAAAAAATTATGTCATTATTGCACATATGCAACTTATATCAACATTCCTATCCTTGCAGTATGCTAGGAGTTTGTCACTATGGACCTAGTTAAATGGCCTAACTTGCCATGACTTTCCTATAGCTCAGTGGTAGAGCATCCAAAATACTCATTGGAAGGTCATAGGTTTGACTCCCATTGCGAGCACAGGGGTGCTTTTTCTCTATGTATGCCTATGTCATCCATTGAATGAAAATCTCCTTTCAAAACAAATATAGTTTACAGTAAAGAATTTGTTTTAACAAGGCTTATCTCAGAGAAATGAAAATCTTAATAGCGTAAATAAACATAAATAGAAGCTTAAAACATTCCCTTTAGTGATTCAAATGTTCCTTTGGAGTATTTTTTGGAACCAGAGGTAAAGTTGATGTTCTGGTAGTTTATCAAACTTTCTGTTACCAAAAAGACTACCTACAATTCCACTGGTAAAAATAATCATGTAAAACATGACCGCAGGATCAGCATGAGTAGGATCACTTAAATGAGAATGGTCAACCCTGGCTCTTTGAAAATTGTGTGGATTTTCATACTAAACAGTCTTTGAATGTATGCAATTGCTTACTATAAACAACAGACTACAGAAGTATAGCCGGGCTTAAGCCATTGAGATGACCAATTTCATTGTTCATCATCATGGTAATGAGAATTTTTAGCTCTCTTTATGACAGTAAAGCAGCTGATTCAGTTAATCTCATGAGGTTTCTGTTCATTTTTAGTAAAAACCTCTTTCCAATTTAATATACTGTTACATTACTTTCCTTGAAATTGACCAGGATATCCTGGTATATCCATGACTTGATATTGTAGGAAATCAGTGCTTCTAATAGGCTAAATTTTGAAGCAGTAATTCACGAATTCAGGTGTCAGTGGAGAGAAAGTAAGGTAATACTTCTAAACTACTCCAGGTATTAATGTCACATAATAAATGAACATGTAAAGGTAATGGATTGTATGGCTAGGGTAAATCTAACTCCCATTAATTTTCAAGGGCTTTGATTATAACATGTAGCTTAGATTCCCTTATATTTGTCTCCAGCATACAGCATATGTGTCAATCAATTTGAAGCTTAAACCCCCCCCCCCTGCACCCAGGTGGGGGGATGTCAGGCATTTGATTTTCATCTCTGCCCTTGGGGAAGAGAATTTGAACCAGAAGTGTCAAGTCTTTCCAGCAGAATACACGTGTTTTATCTTTTGATATAAAGGTGATTTAAGGTAAATAGTTCACTCTACAGAGTGACTCAGAAGAAAAGGTCTGGTTTTAAGCTTGGTCAATGAGAAGAAACTCACAATTGCTGATTTCGTCTTATCAAAAAAATTTTGAACATCAAATCAGGCAATTGCATTTGAAGATAATTTTGGCCCCAGGAAGGATGAGAATTTGAATGAACCAAATTCAAATGTGCAGCGAGTTGAAGAAGGGGGGAGGGGGTGGTGGTTGTGGCCATACATTCCACATTCCTTTGTTGATTTTTAGATCATTTTCAAGAAATTGTGAGTGCAAATTCAATTAAATATATCTGCAAGTTAGAGAGTAACTTAACCACTAATTTGAAAATAAGGGAGTACAGGAGGTCCCATTAAGAAAACGTATTCAAAAAGTCAACATTAGGTGTAAGACATGTACTTCGCTTTTTCCACAACAAATTTACTTTGCTTAAGCAGTACACTCAAAACATTTAAAATTTTGAAAGCTATCTTAATTGAATGGTAAAAAAATGTTATAGTCATACCATACAAGATATGTCACCACTTTGAATTATTAGTTTCCAGGCCATGGCATTCTCTAAAATTAAGACACACAGGATTTCCCCAATATGTCAGGTCTGTTTCCAAACCTTGCCTCTAATGCAATGTAAGTCTTGTTTTAAAAGTTAATTCAGTTGTGGCAGAAGATAAAATGAACTTGTTTGCTCATTAAGTCCCTCTGAAAAGTCCGTGTAAGTATTCAAAGGTGAGTTGTCAATAAGCATTTTGTGGTGCATTTTGCAAAAATACATTTGATGGATAATAAACACACTGGCCTCCATTTGGCTTGAAAATTTACTTGTACCCAGGTCATTGGACATTTTCTGTTCATCAAAGATCAGAGTTTTTTTTAAGCTTAACTCTCACAAATGGACAACTTCAAGGTCTCTTTCTGAGCCAGATTAAGACTATAACAGAATTCTTGAACACGACTGGTTTTCACCAGTTTGATTTGAGCACCAATAAACACAGTATACGCATCATACTTGTGACTGACAGTGTAATCAAAAAGGATACTTGTCAAGCCAATGTAATTAGACACATCATGTGTGCACGTTGTTGTTGTGCCTTTAACTAGAGCAGGTGTCTTATTATTATAAACAAAAAGACTTGAAAACTTGTTTGTTTCTAAAATTTTGTCATAGATTTGATCAGTTGGTAACAGGACCTTGTGTTGTCCAATTCTGTCTGGATTTCATATCCCTGAGTAACAAATCAGACTTCACTTTGCCATCATACAATTTTGTGCAAATCAGAAAGTATAACTACTAACCATTTTGGATTCCACTCATTTCTACTACAGTTACTTAGGAAGATCTTTATATATACCAAGATAGCCGAAAAAATAAAATAAAATTTAAAAAAAACCGTAACTAAAACTCAATATTTAAAACTTTGAACGGAATTGTGTTGTACCTTTGTGTACTGAGTTGTATTGCAAGGTGATGCATTTTACTGTTGACAAACTCAAGGACAAAAAAATTAGGTCCCAGGAACGTCTGCTTTAGATTGCAAGAAATTAAATCTACCGTCAATATACTAGATTATGAAACCTTCGGGTTATTGTACATATTATTTATGGAACTATTCCAGGTTTGGTATTTCAATTCGTTGCACTTCTCATTAATATCAGAATTTTTGTAGCTGCTCCCAAAATAGGTTATTTCACGGTCTATTTTCGTCACCACCAATAGCCTTAAGAAAAGCTTAATTCTATTAATAATAACATTATAGTGACCTCACCCGTGTCTGTTGTGTGCATAAAAAAACGACCTATTCATTTGAAAAATAAACACCGCAGCGTGTTCAAGGCAAACATGGCAAATACAAAGTACTTCGCGACCTCACAATATGGAAGTGTGGGGTGAATGGCAAACAGATGAACTTACAATTGAGACGCTCGCCTGGCGAAGAGCCCTGTTTTCCTCCTGAAGTTGTTTACAGCGCAATTTACATGTTTCCAGTTCCATTTTCAATACTCTGTTCTCCTGCTTCAAAAGGGACATGAGATTTTTTTCTCTATGAGCAACAGACGAAGTGCTTTCGTCTGCGCTCATGTCACTGTCACTAAACCCAGTGACTTCCATAGAGGAGCTCAACGAGCTCGCCATATTGGAAACACTCGATTACCACAATGCATTGCGGGTACTCTCAGAATTTTTTTAAAATTATTTTTTTTATTTTATTTTAAAAACCTTAGTCATCGGTGTCATGTGAGTAGTGCGCCCTACTCTGAACGGTCACCCAGAGCTAACCTGCAGAACAGACGTATTTGTTCTTTTTCATGAACTGTAACGTAATTCAACCAAAACGTGATAAAACATAATCTTACTGTTACCATTCAAAAACCATACAAACGAAAACGCTAAGGGATACGCTGGTGTAATCTGACACCACAGTTCTTAAACTTATTGAGTCAAAAGTGATTAGTTATCATGCTAAAAGTTTGGTCTGTATAGACTTTCGTCGCTTTTGAAAATACTTTAACGTTGCAAACCTCGGGTCTTCATTTCCACGACGTTTAGTCCCCTTCAAAAAGATGTTTTTGAGAAATCACAATGAAAATGCGTGGGGCATTTTTTCATTGAATTTAGGGACAGCAAATCTAAGTATACAATAACGTGTACTGTTCTTCTACTTAAGAACGTAACACACGGCTACACATGCGGTTTTTCGTCTTTCTATTCGATCATGACATGAGAGAATCCACTTCTAAACATAACCACACAGTTTCAGTTATCTATCAAAAGTAACTTCAAGGTTGCGCTCCTCGGGAGTTACTAGAAGTGTTTGGGAACTACTATAATTAGGGAGGTTCTTATTAAGTTTTTTGAAATTGTTTATGCTTGTTAGTTTATTTTGAAATCTTATACGCGTCTTGTGAGCCTAGTTTTGTTATGTGCTGCAGGACCCGGCTCACTCTTATTTTTACCACTTGAGTGATGTGTCCTTGACCGTTGTGATAGGAATTAATTCTCGTGCGATAATCGTCATCGCTAGTCATATTTGGGTTTTTTCTTGACCTTGCTTAGAATCCTCAAAGGGAGGTTTTGTTTAGGTTTTGGTTCTCGAAGATTAGTTGTTGTCAAGTACTTTGTTGTTCATTTCGAATGTCTTGTAACATTGTTTTGGTTAGCATTCTAAAATTATGTTTACTCTCCCAAGGTAAGTTGTCCTGTAAGCCCAAACATACCTATCGATAGAGCATTTAAGAACGTATACTAAGAGCTGAAGTAATAGAAGTGAGACAGTGTCTCAGAGAGTGAAATAAAGTTCCTGAACAGACGTCTCCTGGTGCCTCCCGTTTACACGTCCGGTGTTCAAGTTAGTCTAAGCCTACTGTCCAACACTTGCACAGCAGAGTAGTGCTGAGGTGAAATTATTAGCATTGTATTCCCATCCAATAATTATCTCAGGGATTCTTCTCCTTCCGGGATTGAAAGTGATCTCTGATAATGGTTTTGGATTTTTTGTCGGCTCGCCTAATTGGATTTAAAATTCCACCTCGTTTTCGTCTATAACAGTTATCAGCATGCTCTTTGAAGGAAGAAGTCAGTCTTTTCTTGTCACTAAAAAAATCACCACCGGCCTTTGGCTTTGAATAAGATATCTGCAGAAAAGGGGAATTAACTTGTGTGTATGTGTGTGACTTGCCTATTGTTGGTAGTTTTTCGTCACATTTAGGGCTCGGCCAAATTGTCGGTGAATTGTTTGTTAAAGTGATGTTATGTGCTCCGCCCGATATTCTTCGTTGCCATAACTCCCCGTAGCTAAACTTTCTTTCTGCTTTCCACCGTAAATTAGCAATAAAGTCTTCAGGTTTATCAAAACGTGGGTCTAATAGATCCATTTTTAACTCGTCTTGAAAGAATCTGCGTGCAATTTCATTTGCATCTTCAGGATTTGTCAAGTCAATTACTTCTACTACATCAACTTGCCGCGCTCGGTTCACTCCGGGTGATGTTATTTTACGTTGCCCAAATGATCGTTGACCCGTAGGAATACCCGAGTTGATGCGGCTGGCTCCGACAAACGCCGAGGTTTGTCTCCTTGGCCGCCATGGATCCATTCGTGAATCTGAGAAACTTCTCGTGAGAGGTTTTATTCTGGCAGTGCCTATTCTGCGAGGTATTTTATGCGAATCTCTCATCACTGATCCTTTGTTTTCTTCAACAGTTTCCGCTTCGTGCAGCGCTGAATGAACCATTGCGAATTGATCCACTTCATCTTCGTCATCTTCGTTTATCTTCAAAGCTTTGCGAAAGTCCTGTATTTTGTCATCATTTTTCTCTTCGAAGATGGAGGGGAGAAACTTGTTTCTCACCCGCGCCATGTCGGCGGTTGCACGAGGGGCAGAACTGTTCTTGTTATTGAGAAATGCTGCCATCTGACACAGACACAACAATTTCAATGCCTTAGCTTTGGTCTTGATTTACTGTTTGAAAAGTTTAAACAACCAGTGCAATTAATTATAAGGATATTAAACTGTTAACTGTAGTAAGTTTTATTCCCAAGAGCCTAAGTTCCATTATCAGTAGCTGCTGTAATAACCTCAACTAAACTTCTGCGAAAAATAGAAAATAATGGGTTCTTAAATCTCTTTTGTCTTCTCGGAAATGACATCAACAAAGGCATTCCTCGGCGTGGAATTTCAACTCAACTCACTGACTCCCTTCACAGAGCTCTCCGACCAGCCTGGCTTGTGATAGTCAGCGCTTCTGCAGCACAAGAGCAGGAACTTCAGCCAAAGAAAGCATCACTGTTCGAAGGAAAACTCTTGGCTTTTTATGAAGAAAAGCAATTTCAGCACTATTCCTGTCGGCCTCGTCGGCCCGCCTTTTGGATCAATTCCTTTGTATATAGCGATTGTCATAACAATGAAAAGTTTGGACCATTCCCTTAAAACTTTACTAAATTGGGCAATGTTTATGACAGAAGCTAAGGATAGAAAGGGAGAGAGAGAAAAAAAAGAGATGTTTGTTAAATAGTTTTATACCCAGAGCGGGTTGCTAAGGTAATGTATAAAGCTCCAATCCAAGTGTCCTAGCCGCAAAGACACTGGCCAACAGTCTTCATTCGTTAGTCTTCGACTGTAAAACCTGTTATGAAATACAGCAGGCAGGTGGTAAAACACACTTACCGTATTCATTCGATCAAACGCCGTATTCCAGAGCAGAAATATTAATAAACGCCGCCCTCGAATATACGACTCAAAAAGCTTACAACAGATCGATGACTACCATGGCAATGATATACGGGTTATTGCCGCGTTGATTGTCTGAGACTTGTTCGAGTGCCTTACTCACACATTTCGGTCCAAAAAATCGATCGAGTAATTGAGCCAGGAGGGTACACCAAGTATATCCAGGCAGCTGGAATAAGTCGTTCAAGGCCGCTTGTACTGAAAAGTATGATGGATGGCTAAGTACCGTGGAAATTCACGAAGAAACAGCTGCTGGAAATTTGAGAGCTCCCCCCGGAAGAACTATTTTGCAGTGGACTCTTGATTTTTCTGCAGAGCTACCTACAGAGGTCATCAAAAAGTCTCTCTCAAGATGTGCGTTGAACCCCGTGGACGGGTGGCAAGGCGATATGATTCACTGCCACAAGGAAGGACAGCCTTGTAGCAGTGGACGATCATTGCTTCGATCGCGATTTCAGTCGGAAATTCTGAGTGAACCAGACTCAAATGTGAGAGCTGCAGTTCTGATGTCGAAAAAGCATATACCCGACATGACATCTTTCGGACTCGGATCATGAAGAGGATAGCGAATGAATTGAATTTTGAATACATTCCGCTCTCGAATAAACGCCGCCCTCGAATAAACGCCGTACTCGATGCTGATGCGCCGCACGAACTCTAAGAGCGAGGCTCACGAAAAGTCAGTAGGGCCCTTTCCTTTCGCGGGCCTTTCGTGGACTTAGAGTTGAGCGCTGCAATTCAGAAGTAAAAGGGGTGTCACTAAATTCTTTAAAAGCTTATTTTAGGGAGGGAGTGGGGCCACTGTGAGGATTCATAGTTGTTGTGGTAACTTGTCTGTGCTCTACTAACAAATAAGATCAATGAGAAATAGTCTTTGTGTTCGTGCTAGTATCCCTTATGGAAAATAAAAAGCAACTGGTGGGTGGGACCATCTCTCTCCAATATTAATACAATATAAGATATGAAATTCATGATAATAAAATTATATGGATCATGTGCACTAAATGTAGCAAAAGTACAATTTTCGTCTCCTAGGGTCTGGAGAAGCGTGATAGTTTCCTCCTCCCTACAAATAAAAAATGAACTAACCCCCCTCCCCAAATGTTGATAATCGAGAAAACCTGTCCTTAAGAGGTCCAAAAGTAGTCCAAAAGTCCAATGGTCCATTGGTCCAGTCCATACTTTACTTATGCAACGTGTAACATGATGTTTTTCCATCATTGTACAAAAGGCATAATCATAATCACTTCTCGGTTACTTTCCGTTTGATTCACTGATTCGTCAGAAGATGACTTCGGCAACGTATTTGCTTGGTCGGCTCCAGCAGTATTCAGCCAGCGTAGCAGATCCTTAGCGACAGCAATTAAACCTGATCACGCACTCATGACTAAGGGCCAAGACATCTCGTCTATCTCAGACAGAGCAGTGAGAAAGATATGGCTACTAGGCAGTCGTGACTGGTGCAGTTACAAAGAATTCACTAATAAGTGCGTCTTTTTCTGCCAACACCAAGAACACCTATTATCTAATTTGACAATTTTTTATTCAAATTTGTATTTATATCAAAAACATCACTTAGGTAATGACAAGCTAATCGTTGTGCTCAGTAGGCCGATAACACGGCCGACATGCTGATATCATCAGTCACTGTTAGAAAGAATTCTTCCATGGCATCCTAAGATGCAGAAGAAAAATCCGCCTTATCTTTATATCAAAAGGAAATGAAGTCAGATATGAGATCGCATTCTATCTGTATCCACTAGTAATTAATCAGCTGAAAGATATTAATTTACTAAAACGTCGGCAGCGGAAAAGTTAAACCTGCGCGGCTGAAGGACCTGGACACGGATTTGTAGATAATTGTTTCCTTGCGTGATTTTTACTTTTCCACGTTGTATCCGTTTCAGTGTATGCTGCTTACAGTAAACAGAAAATTTACAAATTGCACACATACCAAACATCGAACCCGAAGTCTTAAACAAAACTCGACCTGTTGATATCAATACAGATTTTTTCAAAAATTTGTTCCACTTGAGTTGATATCAACATCACGTAACAGAAGACATCTGTACGCAAGTCTTATCATCATAAAATGTAATAAATATAATTTACTCCCGCTTCATGCGAGACTCACCAGTGAAACATACGCAGCATATTCATAAAAAAAAACTACATAAATATCGCCAGTCGGTACGATTCCAATTGTTTGGTTAATAATTGTTTAAACAATTAACTCCTCACGCTCCACAATGTCACACTCTAGAACCTTTTAGTTCGTTTGTGGTCTGTTTTAGTTCAGCGTTTCTTTTCTTGAACATGGCTATTTTCTTTTCTAGCTCGACTATGTCCTTCTCCATTGCGTCTGCTTTCTTTTCAAATTTCTTCCTTTTCACGATCACCCTGGTGATGTTTTCTGTTAGGTGCTCCACTTTCTCTACGTACTGTTTTTCACTCATAGGGGTATAATTCATTTTAATGCTGGTTCCCGCACGCTCGACTGCCCTCAACTTTTCCTGTATTCGAGCCATGGTATCTCGAGCGACCATCTCGCGTTTTTCTGCGGCAAGAATTAACTTCTCTTTAGACTCGATGATCCGCTGCATGTTTGCAATGCTGTCCACAACTTTTTTAGCTTTCTCTCTGAGCTGTTTCACGGTATGTTCCATAGCATCCACGTCCACTTTGTTGTTCTCAAGAAAGTGTTTCATCTTCGAGTTCTCATCATAGCGCTGCAGTGCAAAATGCAATCTCTCCTTGCAGTAACTCTCCTTGGTCTCCACTTTTTCAATTTCCTTCTCGACTTCTTTTATTTCGTCGAGTATTTTTCTCTTCTTACTCAGGGCACCTTCCTCTCTTTTATTAACTTCAGCCAATTCCTCTTTCACTCGCTCTTCCCTCAAATTTTCTTTTTTAGTCGCCTCGACAACCGCATCCATTTTCGCGCGGACCGATTTGATCCCTCGAACCAGGTTTTCCCTGGGTTCTCCACGAAACGTGCAAGCCATGTTGATGAATTTGAGCAAGGCTCACAAGTCTGATGTTCCGTCACGCTGCACGCGACATTGAAATAAGTTGATATCCACTTTCTCAGCTTGAAGTATTCGCTACAGATGACTGGCCTTAACCAATCAAATGCCTTGGTTTTGTTCTCGGCAATCAAAGGATCAATTAACATCAAGAAACGGCCAGTATTTCCTTGATCATCTGTGCGATAGTTACAATTCATCTCAGTGAAAGGCTTTGAAAAACCCAACTATTTCATAAAAATATCCGAGCTGAAAACACATCCTTCATAGAGAGTGCAAGAGGACATTTGAATCAAGCTTACTTAGAAGCCAGATTTGCAAATTGCTTCATAGCAGGCATTCTCTTTCAAAGTCAATAAATAGATAACACAAACAAAATTTGAGTTTCTATTTCTAGTCCTCATTTGAAGGATGGAACTGCGAGATCTGATAGCTTTTCCTTAGGATTTTATATCAATTATTATTTTTTCAAAATTATATAGATTTTCTAAACAGAAAGGACAATTTGTTACGAACCACATCAGTAGTAAGTCAACTCATAGCAAGATTCAGTCGCGCAGAAAAAATTCGAGAAGGGTAATCTTTACAGAGTCGCCTCAGCCGTTACGTTAAGCCTTTGTTTACTCAGTCGACGAATACTGTTTTTCGGCAATATCACAGTTTTTCACGCACCCTTAACAGTTGCACTGTAACTGTATGAGAATCTATTGAAAATGTGCGGGCAACTTGGATGCGACTAATCCACCGGCCAACCAGTTTACGACCTAAACTGAAATACAGGACGAGCAACAATTCCGCAATGTCTTAAAAGACCCTTAAATCCTTTATTGGGTGCATTTACGGCACTCCACAATATTAACATGGACAGATATAAGATAGCTTCAGTTCGACTATTGATAAACCAAAGTGACCCGACATCTTATCTTGCTGTGCATTACGTCGCCCCACTCGACTCAAGTGTTTACTCTCTAACCAAATATAGACATTCGTCGGCTGGTATCTCTGGCAAGCTAACTGCCTTATAACAACAACCACATCAGAGTTTCAACAATAATCAAAGAACGGACACCAATCATAGACTACTGTTATGATTCTGTTTCGCGCCCTCGTTCTATTAAGCGCCTCCGCTCCATTAAATGCCCCACTCGAATTTGTTTTTGTCATAAACGCCCCTATTCTAAGAAGCGCCCCTCTTGCGTAAGCACTTCAATTCCAATAATTACCCCATTCTGTTCACTGATAGCACTGTTAGAGTCCGTGCACACTGAGATCAGGCGTGGTTCACCTTCCTTTAATTACTTACTTAAAGCCTTATTATACAAAAAACAGTGGTTTTCGTCTCAGTCTCTCAAGAAGTAAGTTCATGTGGATGGCACAGTTCCTTCAAAAGAATGATCTCGTCTTGTCTCAAAATTTTCCAACAGCTCCTTGGCTGGTCGTTCTAGCGAGTAAGGCCCCAGGGATAATACGTCAGTTTCCCAGTCTTGTAGATCATTTTCAAACAAACATCAACGGTTTGTTTGGCACATTTTGGTATTTCTGTAAAAATAAGAATTAGGCTCCCTGCTTCGAATAAGTGCCTTCCCTTGAGGCACCAAAAGTAAGAAAGTGCCCCAGGCGCTCAATCTATTCATTTCGGAAAACGAAGATTGTAAAACAGTCTTAAGAATGAAGGGGGTAAGATTCTAAAGAAAATGTGGTGATTTGTCGGTTGAGGAGTATAACAAGGTAATTTGGTTTAATCAACTGAGTGGTTGCGGTCTTGGCCACCGTGCTGTTACTGTCTTACGACACCCGCTCAACCATTCAGATGCAAACTAAACCTTATTGCATCTTGGGTAGTTGAGTGCTCATCATCTGCTCAAGTAAAATGACAGGGGTCACTGTTTTCAGAGAAGTTTTTGTGATTCAATGTTCAGCCAAACTACGTAAAATGAGAGGAAGTGCACAAGCTTGCAGCATCAGATAATTGTTTTGACAACTGCAAATTTGTGAACAGTCAACTTCTTTCCAAACTTTAACTCCAGTTATTCTGACTCTGAGCTTGAGCTGTCTACATCAAAGGGAGACATTCTGGACTTTTTCTTCAAACTTTCCAAAAAGTCTTTGACAAGCACTTTAGGAGGGACAATATCTGAGGAAATTCAACAAAGATGTATGGTCTGTTGCATGAATTAAAATAAAATAACTTTTAACTTTTGCTGTTACTAACTTCAATCTTTGTAAAGCTGTCTTATAACAAATGGCTATGACAATAACCTCTTATAAGCATAATTAACTAATAATAATAATAACAATAATAATAATAATAATGATAATAATAATGTTACCATGACATCATAATCTTTATCGATCGTATTACAATATATGAGACGTGATTAGTAAACAATTAGTCGAGTTAGTGAATGCATATGTTTGAATATCCTCTCAAGGACTAGAGCCACAAATGTTGGTATGTAAATTCATTTTATATTGTTTTTCTTCTCAATATCCTGTTGTGTTCTAAGTACACCGAATCAGTTAGTGTTTTGTGATCTATTTTCAGTTGACCTTTTGCTTTACATGAACATAAGCGAAATAAAGTGAATGAGTGGGACAATGAGTCTTTATTGAGTGTATCCAACACAAGCACAAATAATAAAAAATAATTACACCTTTTATTAGGATATACCATGCAAGCACTTCTTCCCTTGAAAATTGCAGATAACACTGTTAGAGAGGTAACATTGAACAATTATTAGCCCAAGGCCAAGTTATTATTGTTGAATAGTGCCCACAATGAAGCTGGGGGATTATTCAACACTATTCACTGAGCCTTCTGCAAATAATTGTTGTAAGTATAATTGTTCAGGTGCTTGAAAATTTTGTGACCAGTTTGTTTTGTTGTTGGAACTATTCTGCAAATAAAGAATGTTTTGAAAGGTCCTTGGAAATTCCCGCACAAGAATCTCTATAATCACCTCAGCAATTAAACTTGTACCAATATACCATCTTCAATGTAACCATTTCCCCTCTTTTCTGGACTCTGTAAAGATTATCCCCCAAACAACTTGTGTTACATGAAAAAAAACACCTTTGTCATGTTCTTGTACTCAAGAGCATGAAAATGGAGCTGAAAATTACCTCCAAGAAATTGAAGTTTTTCTTCATCTTCCACTACTTTAGCTGCAATAATAAAGAAAAGGACAAAGAAAAATTAATACAAAACATTTTGAAGAACTTTGAGAGAACTCCATGAGTGCATTTTCAAATTTTTTAGGTTAGATTATGAGGAAATTTTATTCGGTGAAAATTACTGACATCCAAGACTGCATGACAGTAATGCTGATTACACATGATAATACCTAAGATTTACTACAATTGGTTGAGAGCATTCAATCAATATACAATAGCATGTGCAGTTGACACAATAATGCAACATCTGCAGTAGATATTGCAGTCATCATGTTAAGTTCAATGTCTTCCTAGTTTTCAAGCCCTGCAGTGTGGTGTTCTCAAACTTTTGCAACTTCAGAGAGAAACTCAAAAAGGCTAAACACTTTAAAAAGTTAGTAATAAATCGGTTCTAGAATTCAGTTTCCGCTGCATCAAAACTTGTGTCTGTGTTAACTGCCACTGATCTCGGTATTGATAATTCATGATATAATGCTAAATCTCATTCAATAATTGCTTATAATTTGTCACTTTGTATCTGCCTTGACTTCATTGATTAAGCTACAAGATTGGTGGTCTAGCTCACTTTGACAACTAACTGGATGTCTTTATCACTTACAACTCCTTCACAAAGTAAACATTACTTACAGAGTCCCTTGTAGGTCAGTTGCTTTGAATCACTCTCCTGTTTATAAGCAGTGATGGTAAGATAGTCAATAAATAATTCCTGAAGAAAAAAAAAATTATTTCATAGCAATTATATTTTATCTGACCAAGTTATTAAGTCTTTATAAACAGCCACTAAAAAACAAACCATAACAAAAAAAAAAACCCTTTAGTAGAGCAACCAATATATGATGAAATGATCAAATAAAGAACAAGCCTTGAAAATGGTTATGAACAAGAGAAAGAGAACAATCCAGGATCTCAGATATAAGTGCTATTTGTGTACGTCCTTGGTGACCATATGAGAGATCTGTAGCTGTTACAAGTTTGAAGAAAGGCTATCTCAGTCACATAATAAACTGATTATACATGCATTCTGATTGGCTTTTACCTATGATCCACAGGAGGACAGACACATTGATGATATCACCATCAACTTTTTTGCTTTTTATCCACATTGTCTATGGCCAGTAGATTAATAGATCACAGAAGACATCAAAATGTAGTAAAAAAAAAAATCAGTAACACACTAAGCTGTGCCTCATGCGCCACTTTTTTTTTTTTTTAACATAACATTATGAAATCATCTGTGATCTAATAGGGAACAAAAGCACCCCAACATGGCATCTACTTTTTGAACAGAATACCTCAACTAACCATGCATCCTAAGATGTGAAAAGACCTTAAGTCTCGCATTTAAGAAGATTTTTCTAAGCTTGAAAATTTTTTATGCACAGTTTATGGTATGATTCCTGCACAGCCCCTAGCCTGCTGTGCAGGCATCTAATTAGTGGGAGCTAACATTATAACCTTGTGATTGTTTATTGGATGGATTGCAGGTTAGAGATGGAGTTAGAGTAGATGGTGGGGGTAGTGGGTGGGGGAAGAGTGAGAAGACACCTGCCTGAAGAAGCTGTTGAAAAGCAAAACACCCCCTGATTAGTTTTGCATCACTGCATTTCTGGAAATGAGCAGGTAATAAATCAACACGAGTTAAATGAAAAACTGGAAGCACTGTCTTTCAAAAAAAAAAAAAACACATTGAGCCAGAACAGAAAATTCCCTGCTGATGCAAATACAAGTTGATATTTGCTGCTCTCTATATCCTCCAAATGACAATCTGTGAGTGTAGCTAACATTCATCTGATCGAAGATGCCTATTCCATTTGATCATAAACAATATGTTGAAGGCTGACAAATGACAACTTTACTTGAAGGTTTCCCATTATAATTTCTATTATAAGAACCAACACCTGAAATATCAGGCTGATCAATAGCTGGTGCTTAGCTGTACCAATCAGGAACTCTGGTCATGGGTGAATGCAGTTTTTCCAAATAATGATGACTTTGGGCAGGTGTAATCTTGACTGCCCCCTTGGTATAAATTTCTTTCTCTCCCCAGCCTTCTGCTGCCATTAAAATTAAAGATGATGGCCATACTTTTCTTTAAGAAAATTCTGAGTACTCACCTACCATAATTACGCCTGCTCTGCAGGCTATGCAGTTCCATGCTATTTAATACAAAGCAATAGTTCTCTCTGTAGCCCCAAAGGATATTCATTGTTTCCACCTTTGTTCTCTTTATCCAGGAACTGTACGCATACAGAAGTAAGGGGCTGTGCGGAAATCCTACCCAGTTTGGCAAGCACAGTTTTCTCTACCGCTTAAGAGTAGCCACACAAAGATATACCGCAAATAGAGAGATAGGATGTATCTTGACGAATGCAGCTTTAAAAGTGGAGAGAGAATGGGTGTGCTTATACAACCAAGAACCTTCTTGGCCTTTGGCTGGTTAACCACTAACAATATCAATTACTAACTTGATTTCCATCGGCACGGACTGATGTAAATTTTCATCGATTATTGATTAAATCAACAGGATACCCCGAGAGCAATAAAGATACGCTGACAAACTGTAACATAAAAGAGAGACCTACCGTGGCTTTTGTTATTAGGAAAACTGAATCTTGACTGAAATGTGGCTGTTCCGGGGAACTTTTCATGATTGTTTTGACTCTTGCGATTGGCAATTGAGTTACCTTTCCCGCGCTGCTGTCCACGCTCGTTTTCTCCGCCATTTTGAAAGACACCAACCAAACTATGCAAACGGTCAGCGGAATCATCAAGCTCGTTCCACACTGCTTTCTTCTTCCTAGACGTTGTCGAACAGATGGAGGATCCCTCTGCAGATCCAAGTTCACCAAGCTACCAAATCTCGCCAGAATGTGAATCGAAGGTTTTAACAACTGATATCGAAGCTGAGCAAGATGCGAGGGCTCAACTTAGAGATGTATTTCTTCGTTCTATCTTTGCGTCCTGTAACAAGCCAGCTTGCTTTTTGATGCACGAGAAGACTCAAGTGGAAGCCATCTTTGTGGCTACAGACATAAACATAGAGAATTTCCAGGTATCTGAACTTCAAACTCCAATGGGAGTAGTCAATGAGGCTTTGCTGAGGTCGTCTGATGTGCTGTCATTTACAATAGACCTTGAAAAGAAATAGAATCACCTTGTTTGGAACTCAACCGCATACAACAGGAGACTGCAAGTTCTTCAGCTCTTCTTTTTCAAAGCAGTTCCATTGGTAGGCACTGTTTGGTGGAAACAAGCAATGTTTCACACGGGTGACGGATACTTGGCTTTAGTGGTTGCTCGGTCCACATTTCATTTTAAACAAGTAATATTGTGTGAACACAAGACATTCCTCCATTAGAAGGCATACAGCCTAAGAACCTAACATTTCTCGCCCTGTACTAAGTAGTGGAGCTTCTATAGATTGTCGTAGTGTTTCTAATACATGACTTGATTACTTGGAGTCAGAAATTCAACATACATCTTTAGAAACAGAATTTAAAGGAAGTGCACACTCATTGAGGTCATAAAGAGAATATCTTTTAAAAATCTATATTCTCTTATTGATGTAAAAACCATAGCCTTCAACAGACACAAAAATAGGTACATATATTTGTCTATGGAGATGATCTGTTCTGAGATGCAGACAGGCTTTCACAAAGAGGGAGTAATCTCTGATACAAATCAAGACTCCGTTATCAACCTCCTTCCTTTTCATCCCCCTCTCAAAGGACAGTCTTGTAGAGCATTTGATTTCTTTAAGGTAGTGAATATTTATTATAAAATTTATTGCATATTTAAGTTTCTTTACCATTTTGGTGGTCTCTCCGCACTCTCTGTGGTGGAGGAGAGAGCTTGTTGCATGACAAACCAAACAACAGCTGCAAAGGAGGCCACCAGTAACAGTTTGAGGACACTGGTTTGCATATTTATGCACCTGATAAACAATTTTTTCGAGTCTTTTCTCAAGTTGAAGAAGATTATCACACCATATGGTTTTTCTTTGAAAATCTGTTTTTTCCCATTATTATTTTTAAAGTACTCTACTTACTTAACCTTTTACTTTAAGAGTGACTTGCATCTAATTTCTCCCTACAATACCAACCCTGAATCAAACATCAAGGTCACAAGAATAAAGGAAATGATCACCTACTAAACAACCTCTTGATTGTTAATCAAATTCTCTTTGTCAAGACCTTAGAAGTAAAGAGAACAGTATGGAGAATATAAATACTGATTTTAAGGTGTCAAGGGTTAAAGAACATTTGCACAGGAAGCCTGACTTAAGGAAGTTTACTTTTGTTAGCTTTTGTTTTGTCCTTTACCATTTTTAATAGTAACTAATGTTGCAGTTTTTTTTTTGGGCACTGTACAACACTAGACAGTATATTTTCTATCATTTCATATATAACGACTTCATTACTTTTTCGCTTTTACCAAAGCTGCAATTGCTAATTTCGTGTGTCATTCATATTAAGTTTCCAACTCTCTGTGTTTGATTTTCTTGACCCTTGACATTTATAATGCGACGCTTGAAGGTCACATTTATCCAATATCTTCCTCGCTATATCATCCTATATCTGAAATATTGTAACCCTGTATGAAAGAATCTTGACTAAGGTCATCACACCAAACATAACATCAGACAAGATGCACCTGCCGGGACCTTTCTATAGTCATCCAAAGGGTTAGGATGAGAAGTCATCACATTTTTAGTCTTTTGATCAAAGATGGCTTTAAAACCCTCTGCAGAATGGATACAAGCTCCAGGTTTAGAAGTCATTAAGTGCTTGGCAAATACATAAAAGGTCTGCCACACAAAGTAATATTACTACTTAGTTGTGAAAAACTAAGAAACCAAGAGTGTCAAGAACTTTCAGGCACTATTCCATTAACTTATGTGGTCATTAAGTCATTAAGTGCTTGGCAAATGCATAAAGGGCCTGTTAGTCAGAGTAATATTATTACTTAGTTGTAAAAAAACTAAGAAACCAAGAGTGTAAGGGACTTTCAGGCACTATTCCATTGACTTCTGTTGTTAAAGCTGCTCAAAAGTGTTGTCATCTAACTTCTGTATGCTTTTGGTGTCACTATCAATGAGTCTGCATCTATAAAACAATAAAAAGGACACAAAACATAAACTTCAATCAGAGTGATATTTTTACTGTGTGATTTTAATGAAAATGTCTTGCCAAGATAAAAAAGTTCCTCTCATAAAATTACCCAATGAATAGTTTTGTAGGTCAGCCTGCAGTCATCAGTTTATGAGAGCAGGAAAGATGGGCAAGTGCTTCAAATCTCAACAGACCCAGCTGACATGTAAACCAATTCTTACACAATATCTTCAACAAGGCATTTTTAAAATGTTTCAAAGATACAAGTTCCCTAGTTACTACACTTCAGTGCAACAGTATGCACAATGGAAATATGAAGCACTCCCATACAATTTACAATTTATATAACTCTGTTTCCTGGTGGGAACATTTTTTGTTCTCCATATAGTGTGTTGGTAGGGTGCCAAGCATTTAGGGAAATAGTTCAAGGTGGCTCTGAGTCATGGAATCTTGAGTCACCATCTCAGGGCATGCTGCAACAGCAGACACCACACAATGACCTGAAGTTTGTTCATCATGATCCTTAGGTGTATGGTCTCAAGAATATTTCAAGCTAGTAACAAGTTAAATATGAAACAGCCTGAAACATTTGATGATAGGTCTAATTTATGAAGTACACTTCAACCTCTACCAATGACCACCTCCCTTCAACAGCTGGACTAAATATGTCTTAAAGGATGGTATAGGATGAAAGATAAGAAGTAAAAGTAGGTGGTGTTCAAGAAGGATGGTCACTTTTACCAGACTCAAGAGTCTGATGACATTGGCTACAAGGGACACCTTCATCCAGGGAACACAAACTTTGGTCCAGGAAATATATTGATTTCATCTTCATACTTGTTTTCAGTATTGAAGGGGAAAGGAACACTTATCCTGGGTCCTAAAGCCATGTTTTAACCTCCATTCAGGGGACACCTTAGCCACTCCAGAGATTCTCACCAATGTGGTAGTACAGTGTATGACATAAGAAGTTGTTTCACTTTGGAAAGTGCACCTAATGAACTCTATCTTTTAACTGCTTATGGCTCTTGAGTAAATTTACTGCACTTGTGGATATTTAATACATAATTATCTAGCTGTGTGAAATAGAGACTCCAGCAGATTCCAAGCCAGAATAATAAAAATATCGAAGTTATTATTTTTTTTTTGTGGTGAATCATTAACAAACCCCAATCCAATCTCTCTCTAATAAACACTTTCCTGGTTCTGAGGGTTTCCCCTGAATGAAGGCTCCACTGAAATTGATATCAGTACATTCTTTGTGACTGTAAACTTACAGTGTTCCTCAATTAGGTTTGGGTATATGAGGCCCACAAAAGAGGGGATTATTCTGGAATTGCCTTTATTCTGTTCCTTATGGGAGGATAGATCATCCCAAAATTTAGAAGTTTTCTCCACATAATCTTTAGGATGACGATGTTCAAATGACCTGGAAAAATTTGGTAACAGTCAATTAGTTGTATAATTAACAAATAGATTCCAAGTTGCCATGCATCTGTCCAGTAATAGATCACAGATGATGTCAAAATGTGGTAAGAACAAAAAGGTAGTGCACGAGGTGCAGCCGAGTGTGTTACTGATGTTCTTGCTGCATTTTGACATCCTCTGTGATCTATTACTGAACAGACGCACGGCAACTTACAATCTATTTGTTTTATATAATAAAGAATTAAAAAAGTTTTAATTATAACGTCATCTATACGTCTGTCCTCCAATAGACCATAAGTGAGAACCAATCAGAATGCGTGCATAACTGAGCTTATTATATAAAATAATATAACAATCAGTGATAGCCTCAAGTACGACTAAAGAATATGAACAACATTAACTTGTCTGTGCTGAATTTGAAGCTTTTGTAATTTGCTTAACCCTTTAGACCCTAGCATCAGTATACATATTCCCCATACTGTTCTCTATACATTTCTGAAGGTACTGACAAGAAGAATTTGTCTATCAATCAAGAGGTTCTGTCTTTGGTGATCATTGCCTTATTCTCGTGCCTTTAATGTTTGATTCAGGGGTGATACTGTTAGGAGAAATTAGATGCTGGTCAATCTTAGGGTTAAAAGCTTAAAATTTACCACATGGAATGTGTCTGCACCAGATTTAGGAACTGCAATATATTGCTTTGATATTTTCTTTTCTTATGTTTCTGCAATATTTGAGAAATAATGCACTTTGTAATAATTACTTAAATAATTATTGCAAACATCATCATTGCACAAAACTACTGCAACCTAGTTTTTCAAGGAATTACCTCGATTGAGCTTTCAGGGCACAATCAAAAGAGGAAACAAGAAATATTCTTAGGAAACCTTAATTTTTTGATAGACATAATAGGCCTTAAGTTATCAACTTCTATTGGAGAAATGCATGAGTCTATAAAGGGAGCAATTAAAATGCGTAGTGAAGACAGAAAACAGAAAGTGTTCAAAACAAAATCTACAGACTTCAAGCGTCAAAATGATGTCAGTTGTGATAGACAATAAGCAGTCTTACCATCCCATATGGACACCACACTGAGGGCAAACAGCTACCCTCCATGCATAGCCTGGAAACCAGGAATGCTCCTTAAAGGCCTAGAAGTTGAAAGCTCTACTCAGCTGCATGTTTAATTATCACTATCATTATTTTCAAAATTATATGACTGATTCTTCTTGTATACATTTTCTTGTTATTATTGTTAGTTCAACTAGGCTTGTGTTTGTTATTTTAATTACATCTCATTTGTCATGCTTTTGTTTTTAATCAGTCCCAAGGATTAAAAAATGCTGGGTCTTAAATCACAGATCACACTGATTACTAATCATTTTAAAAACCTTATTTTTCAAATGAAAGTGCTTCTAGTGTGTTGGTAAATCATGTCAATTGCTCACAATGCGATACATATGATGATACACAAGCACAAGCACAAGCGCAAGCGCAAGCGCAAGCGCAAGCACAAGCACAAACCCAAGCATAGCAGCTCTTATTGGACTGTGGACACAGCCTTGACACAAATATAAATATGAGCACATGCACAAAGATCAGACTTTTTCCTTTTTTCCCCCCTGGTTTTGCTTGTACTTGCATCAAGGCTGTTTTCAAAGTGAAATAAGAGCTCTTGTGGTTTTGGTTGCATTTGTGCTTGTACCTGCACTTGTGTCTGCATTGTTGTACTCAACAACTAGGGTGAAAAAATTAATAATGAATAAGGGGGGAAAGTTTCTAATTTCAAGAAATTGTGGTGCTGCATCAGTTGAAGGTATAACAAGATCATTTGGTTTAATCAACTGAGTTGATAGTGTAAATTGGCAATGGTAAAGAGTTTCTAAAGCTGGATTTCAAGTGCTAGCCTTTTGCCACTCACTCTGATGAAGGGTTAATGCTCCAAATACCAGTTATATAAACTCTTTACTGTGGCTATTTACAACATCAATGAGGTTTACACCTAAACATTTGAGTTGTTGATTCTGTCAATTTGACATTGCATATATTTCTTTTCATAGACTCAACAGTGAATTTAACAATTTACACCTACCTCACCAAGACTTTTGATATTAGCTGATGTTACCGTTATTAGCTCAAAATGTTGACCTGAAAAATATATGGTCAAGCAGAAAATATGAAATTTATAGCAAACCATGATGATTCTCTGTATAAAAAAGTTTGGTCATATAGGGTATCAACAACTCATACCATGAGGGTTTTTGAAGAGCTGTATAAGACACTGTTTCACCCCTAGAATAGTGTCATTCCTCTGTCGCAGAGCCAGTTTACTACCTAAATTGTTGAGGTTTGCAGCCACAGAGATGTCCTGCCCACACCGTCGACAAAGCAAGGTATCTGCAAATATACAAACTGTTCTTTATCAAGAGGGCTATGTCATGATGTAAAGTGAATTAGTTTCTCAAACATTATGAACTATTTAAAAGCATTCTGTATGACAGCTACAGCAGATCATTTTTGTTGTCTTTTTTATCAGTCTTCTTCAAAGCAAGAGGTGCTTACATAAAATTGAACACATAAACCAAACCAGGGGGAGGGCATTTGAACATTTGAAGACTGGTTCATTCACATTCCTGCTGTTCACCCCAATATTGCACTGCAAAGCCCTAGTCAAGCACAATTTTTTTCTAAAAATTATCTGTATGATCAATGAATGTTGCTGAATTTAGCAAAGCCATGTATTAGTTTTTGGTGTCACTATTTGGTTTTTCCCCTGTAAGCATCATTCTGCGATGTGAAAATTTTCTTCTAAGCCATTTGCTCATGAAAACAGACTCTTTACCTTTAAACTCCTCCTTATTTTGATTAAAAACATATGCATTTTGCTGGTTCAAATTCTCCATCCCACTCTGGCAAGGTTCCAATTCCCCACCCCTGTAACATAGTCAAATGTCTGTGGGTTGCTCAGGGAGGGGGGTGGAGGTGTTGAAGCTTTAAATTGATTGGGGCACTATGTGTAGATAGCCGAATGTTTTGACTTTGAGGGAGGTAGAAGGAAGTTAAGTTTGAAAATGTGTATTTTCGTGCTCTGTATTGTTTAAATTTATTTTGAGACTTTCTGTTAGATGAAATATGTACCATAAATGTTGCTTTCCTTAGATCATAGAATGGAACTTTTGAATCTGTACAATAAAATATGGGAATGTAAGTAAATTTTAAGGACACCCACTGTTCCCTGGCTCTTAAAAAAGGTATTGCTTATCTCTACTTAGTTACCATCATTACCACTTTTTTGTATGTAATTAATATAAGCAGCCTTGTTTATGGTTAACAACTGACATTGACATACACAAAAGTGCACCCAAAGTCACATAAAAGAGTAAGTCTTCATAATGTTTCCTTTTCTTTTTTTTTTTAAGTTGAATAAGAACTTTAGGTTTTTGACCACAAAATTCATCATCACCCATGGTTGTCCTACCTCTGAATGTACTGAATAAACCCCCCATTAACAAGTTGATCACCGTTGGAAAGTTGCTCATCAGATTTGAGGGTTGATGTGTTTAACACAGAAAAAAAGAAACTTGTCAGTAACTGGTAACATTCACCAGAGCCTATCAAGTTCAAAACTAGTCAGTTAATTGAGAAATCTCAAAATGAATAATGATTGACAGAAATTTATTGTTATTTTCTCAATAATAATTTATGGATTCTTTTCTTTTCAATTACAACTGTGATAAATGATCATTATCAATTTCCATGTTGTGGAGTGAAAATGGAATGGAAAATTTACTGTCACATCAAGGGTAATGATCTTTATAAATTAGTTTCTTCAAAATACAACACATGCAGGTGGGACACATACAAAATTAGTGAACTGTTAACACAAAAAAGAAGGGACCAATGAAAAACTATCAACACTGATTTAGAATTCAAACTGTAAACTTGCCTAATTACTAATTAACTGAAGAACACTCAAATTGATCAGTAATCAACATTATCTTATAAACAACAATTTGAATTTGCTATTACACTATGGCATATTCTTCATCCTTAGTGATGAATCTCTGGTTTGATTGAAGGAAAATTGTGTGTCCACAATTGAAATGGTGTTTATCACTCTTCCTGTGGCTGTGAACAGGCCAGGACCTGAGCCAAGGGTATGTTACTTGAGACATAAACTTAATACAATGAGACTTAGAAACTTGATCCCCTTTTACATTGGGTTTCTAGAAAAACAAACGGTATAATATACTGGGAAAATTTTCCTAAACCTGGATTTTAATTATGTAATTCCAGTATAATCATTTGCACTTTAGTTTATTATCATATGAACATGACAGTAAATCTGAGGAAGGAAAATAGAACGAAGGGGCCGCAAACTTGGAGTTATTGATTGGACAAGATTTCAGGGTGTCTTTCAAGTTGGTGAGGCTTAGCACTGCTATACAATCACAAGATACTTTCATCAGGGTAGTTGTGAAAATCGTGTATCTGTTATCTGAACCCTTCCGTTGCAATGCAAAAGTACACGATTTTGATTTTAAAGCCCACAAATATCACTAAGATCAAAGTCAACGAATGATAAATAGTTCGAGAAGGAAAACAGGAAAGTGAGGACTTATTGGATTTTACAGATGGGTTTTCATTTGTAGACATGTGAAGGAAGGCAGCTTTAAGATAAATTCCAACAAAAGGAGGTAATGTGCTTTGACGCTTACAGTTTGTTCAAGTTCCATATCAAGAGCAACCACGCGCGCAAAAACACTAAAAGAACAACAGAGACCAAGTACGCACTCTTGCGTGACAGCTAAAATTTGCATGAAAACAAAGTGAAATATATACCTTGATGTTGCTGTATTTCCACAATCGTTGAAAACGCTACATCAACGCTTAAACATACTATAGCAACAAGAGCTAGGAAACGGTTCCGATGGTGAGATTTCATAGCAATGACCGGCCACCGGGAAGAGCTACGTGCACATTGCGTTGTAGACAGCTTCCGTGGTGAAAATTCCTTATGGTCAGCGGTTATAAAGACGCTTTTCGTATATTTCGAAAACTGACGATCATCGACGATCACTCGTGAAAGTGAGGCAATCGATTCGAACTATTTCACACACAACAGAATTTGCTGAGAGAGCTCATTCCACACCTTGAAACTGAAAAAAAAAAAAATGAAATGACCAGCAAAGTTCAGAGAAAGCCACAATTTCCACCACAAACAAACAATTGGTGTTGGAGGACGAGATCGTGTGGAGGGATTAACAGCGACCATGTAAGTTAGTTCTTTGGTCTCGTGATGAACTCGTGAATTTTGTACAGAGAAGTATAGCAGCAGATGGAAAGAAAACATTTCACGGTATTTTCCTCTTTAAGATTTCGAGATCATAAAATGTCTTGGAAGTTAATTATCTGTTAACTTTAAGTCAGTGAGAATTTTTCAGGAAAAATTCTTGCACTGCCTTTGTACGGCCTCTTGCAGTCCATTAATTATGGAAGTAGTTTTCTAATGAAAGCGCCATTCCAGTGACTGTTTATTTTGCATATTTTTAATGAGGGTCAGGCCGATAGTAAAATCACTCAAGAATCGACATGAATAGGACGATTTCCTTCGTGAAACACGTAGAGCTGCTCATTCGAAATATTCGCTCATGGCGTATAAAAATTTAAAGAACATTGCATTTTAAATATTAATTTCACATGTTCATAAACTGGAGAAGAAAAAACACAAAACAATGCTCTTAAGTTGATTCACCCATTTATTAAAAAGCTTAAGTTTTTAATAATTCTTGGTCAAAAAATTATTGTTTTGAATTGAACATGGTCGAAGGCTGAAATTTTTTTTTTCGGTGTCCTCTTTGCACGTGTGCAAAATCAACCAAAAACAAACCACGTGTTTACAATTGAGGTCCTGGGGACTCATGGGAATGTTCTTATCTGACAAGCCAGCGACGGCCATGCCAAGAATGGCCTTTCTTTTGTAGGCCTTTTGCATCCGGTTAGTTGATCGAGCATCTTTTGTCCTAGATCTGTGATGGAGAAGAATTTATGACGGCAAATGATTTTTGTTCACGTATTATCGGTTATTTCAGTTGCTGGATGTTTTGTATCCTGGTAGTTTTTGCAAACGCAGCAAGTCACACCCCCGTACTTTGTGTTTAGAACCAGTTTGCGTTCATTATTGACTTAAGAAATTTCTGTTCTGTTTAGATCCGTCCAATGAGTTTTCCATGTGTTCTTGGCATGAACGAAGTTGGATGGGAAGATGGAGCGTACCACAGCAATGGTATGACTCCAAAACTTGTAGGACGCACCAGTAATGGTGGATCGAAGACGAACAACAGTGGCTTCGAAATTGATGTAGGTGGCAAATCGAACGGTGAAGTGGCAAGTTACCTTTTCCAGCGTCAAGGAGTCGCAACAAGCTTTTCTAAAACAGTTTCAGAAAACGACAAAGGCAATTTTTCTGGCCAGCGATGGTCATCTGTCGGTGAAGGAATGTCAGAGCAGGTAAAAACCTATGTCAACAGTGTTATTTTAGCTTGTGTATATGACCGAGTAGAATTACGGTGACTTGGTTCGTGCTAGGAACGACTAAGCATTCTTAAATACAACAGCTACTTTTGTAGAGAAGTGATAACTGTTTAAATGCTTAGCTTTTGGTTGGTTTACCAAACGTATGGTTCCAGAGTAGGCAGTGCAGTTAAAGTGGATTGCAAAATTTCATTTCTGTGTTCTCTTGAGACATTGATTGTCGGCTTAAAGAGTTGTTGTAATAACGCTTAAAGCGTCTTCCCGAAATGTCGAGTAAATCTTTTTATATTTAACTTCTTATAGCACGATATTGTGGAGTGGAAATTTAAAATGCGCATCGCGAATGTTGTGAAGCACGAATTTTCCTGTCAGCTAAAGGCAAGAGCGATGAATAGTTTCACTATCTACTACAATTCTCTGCGTGAACTGCAATGTTGCGATATAAGCTTGCTGCTTAATTCCATCGCCAGGGTTTTACGCTACTGTAGAATGGAATATGCTCTCTTATTTTGTTTTGAAATATACGATCGACTCGTCTCATTTTGATATAGAGTAAATTAGTTTAAATGCAATATCAGAAAGCTCTGATACGTGATCGAAAAGAAAGCATCGATGATTCATTCAAATCTTGCATGTCGGGAAGCAGAGCTACCGTTTTTAAAACGAGTCAAAGATGGAAGTGAACATACTAAAGCGTTGTGAAATTCCATCGTAAACTTTTTGTCTAACTTGTTTACTTGCCTCCATGGGCCTGCATTCCACTATTCATTGTTCAATTATTAGTGTAACAAATCAAAGCTATGGCCCTCTGCAAAACCTGTTTTATTTTTAACAACTGGACTGCTACATGCTTTTTTCCTTTTGTATATATTTCTTTCCTTATTGCTGAATGTCAGTGATCTTGTAAGTCCTGTAGTTTTGTGTTTTCAAGGATAATGAATTTTTGAGGGTTTTGATAGATATCTTGCTTTGCACTCATTAACAAAGACATTTTTGGGAAATGCCTTCAGAGATTTTTTATTATCATCCTTGTAATTATTGTTTTCATCTAGAGACTTAGTTTTTATAACTGCTTAAAAATGCACAAAATAAATGTTATGGTTTTTTCCTTCTGTTTCCTTTTCCTACTTTTGCCTCTATAGGCAGCAAAGTGCATGCAACATTCGTGGTTTTTCAATTTCATTCTCTATTTGGAGGCAACATTAATGCCTTCTTGTAAACCTAAAGTACCAAGTAATAAGCTTCAACTGATGATTCAACCTTTTGATATCTATTTAGGCACTGTCTATCTATTGCTATCTAAAATCAAAGTCAGTCTTACTTGCCTGTCTGTTATTATTAGTAGACAGAATGATGCAATGGCTCTCATTAATGTAGGGTGCTTGTTTAAATATCAGGCCTTAGTTGTTTGAAAGCTGGATAAGGCTATCCACTGGATATATCTCTGTCCACTAGATAGCAAATTATCTGTTGGATAGCTTTATCCATCCTTCATAAAATTGCACTTTGGCTTTTGTGGTCAATTCTTCATGAGGATGAGCAGTATTCAGGGAAGCATCTGTAATGCAGGCACCTGACCCAAAATAACATAGGAGAGATTGTTGAAGCCTGCTATTTTGAAGCTCTTGGGGTTTATGAAGAGCAAAGATAATTTAAATTTTGTGTTAAAAAATGAATCATTCTTGATGATTGTAGTATACTGGATGATGCTGACAACTCTGAACAATGAATTTACAGATGGGTTTAAAAATGTTGAAATTTTCTGTTGATTTATGCTTTTTTATGTTTTTGTTGAACATCGAAGAAAGCTGACTTCTTTGCTGTTGAGGTTTGGCTCTCTGGGCAAACAAACTTGAGCAAGATGGGATACTCTTTGTGAGAGCCATCCTCTATGCCATTGTGCTGATTCATCAGAATGTGAAATGTTTAGAGATGAATCATCAAGCAGTAGTATGGAATGAAACTGAAAAAATGCAGCATTAATGTAAACATCACAAGTTGTTGTAAGAAGTTACTGATCCAAGAAGTAATTTGGCTCACAGGGCATAACTCTTTGACCCCATAGTGACTAGGATCCAATTTCTCCCTATGACATTCCACCTGGATTGCTCAGTAAGGTCACAAGAATAAAGAAAATTAATGTCCATGAAATAAGGTCTTGATCGTCAAACAAACTAACCATGTCAGCACCCCAGGATATGTACACAGAACAGTTTAGAGAATATGCATGCTGATGTTAGGGTGTAAAGGATTAGCACTATCCTTAGCACAGGCATGTGGCTAATCAACATTTGCAACTGTAGTAACAATAAGACAACCAAATTTAAGTGGAGGTCTGCCAGTGTAAGGACTTTGAATTGATGATACTCTGAAAAGGGTGGCTTCACTTCAAACCAATATTTTATAAATATGTGGTGTGTCAAGAATTTGAATCATGGCATGTATTGGGTCATGTTAAGAACAAGAGATGTGGTCAGCTGAATGATTTCTGCAAATGAAAGGGTAGAGAGAGATTATATTGACATTGCTGTATTTTGATGTTAAATTAAATATCTGATCTAAGCTCATGGTAGTTTTCTTATACACATAGTATACCAGCTCTAAAAGGTGAAGAAGGATGGTTCTAAAATGATTTGAATGATGCTGTTTTAATAAATATGATTTCAGTGGAATGAATATTTTCTTCATAATTTAAACCTTTCTATTTTGAAAATTCCCGTTTGCAATTTTTGGCTGACTGCTCTAATTGTTCCTTATTTAGTCAAATTCCAAGGATGGGGAACTGGATGACAAGTTCCAGAGTTTGTCTTTGAACAACAATGAAAAGAAAGCTGACACACCAATAGAGGAGGTAATCACTACTTTTTTCACTGAGCTTTGTTTGTATGTAGTATGGAATATTGTCTTGGGTTATTTCTCAACCAAAAGGAACACTTTTTTGTGATGTTTCACAAGTTTACAAATATTACTTCTTCGTTGATAGTTATTAATTTCTGTTCCCTTAAGTCACCTTTTTTCATATGAGCTGCATGTAAGGATTGAATGCTTTTTAGTGTCCAATTATGAAAATGAGTTGTTAGAAAAGTTGTTTCTTCAATCAAAACACGCTCCTCTTCCTGAAAAATGACCAAGAGACTGTATTTAAGTACAGCAAAAGAGATTGATAAATTACAGATGTTTAAAATAATTATCTTTGATATCTGACTTGAACAGATCTTCAAATTATTTGGAAACCCACATTGTATCTAAACTTTGAATGAATTTCTTAGCTTGTCTTCCTCTCCTTCCTGAAACACACTCTTAAAGATTTCAAGAGTGTCAATCAGAGTAGAACAGAGAATTTGGAAAGTAGATGTTTTTATAACATTCCCACAGTATGGCTGTCAGGGGGAACAGCTAACATTACCGGGGCTGCCATGCGATGATAACAATGCATATATTGCTTATGTGCTTAAGGCCAATCAAGCAATCTTGCCTTCAGTTTATTTCATGAAACTGTATGTGAGAATTTTTCGATTTAAGACAAAATCAATTTGTTTAATCCTGGTTTATCTCTTGCGAGATGCTGAGTGAGTTGTAATTTCAGGTCTTGTTCCCATTATTTTGTATTATAAGTTATATCTTAGCCTTAACTGCAGATTTCAGAAAAATTTTTGAAGGGTTTAATACAATTGGCAAGGATGAATCTGCTAACAGAGTCTCTACCATTTGACATATATCCCAATCGTGGGTTAAGTTTGCTCAGTTAATCTGCTGGAAGCCTTGTTATGTTTATTTCTCAACCCTTCAACCCTCAAGATCTGATTGTTAATTCTCCTCTCTAGCTGCTTAACATTTCGTTTTAAATTAGTTGTGAGAACTTGATGTTAATCAAGATAGCAACTTCTACCTGATAAGTTTGAATATTCTCATTACCTGTCTGCTGATTAATGTATGGATATTATAGGGAGAAGTTTTATGTGAATCACTTCTGGGAGTTCAAGGGTTAAATAAATTTAATCCAATCATGTTTTGCAGATTGCCTCTACTGCAAAAAAACTTTGGGATGTTCAAGACTCTGGTGAAGAGAATCAAGGGGGGATGACATCTGGCATTTTTTTCGGTGAACAGTGGAGGGAGACAGCCTGGGGGCCATCAGTACCTCATATGGCACAATCAGAGCATGCTGTGTCTCAGCCAATTATGGTGCAACGTCCAGCCAAAGGAGGAAATTTCAACAACCCTTCAGAATCACAGAGTGTTTTGTCACCCAGATCAGCTGATGGAGTTGGGCTTAGCATGGTTGAATATGTTCTGGCATCATCACCTGGTGGTCAAGAGTTAGATGCTCAAATAATTAAAGCTGGATTTGTATGTAATATTTCTATATCATGTTAAAGTGACATTTAATAAGGGTATAGGTCATCAGTTAAATGAAATAGACCTTAAAAAAAGTGTTAGCTCCCCAATTTTGAACTTGTGATATCCATTTTCAATTCATTTAAGTGCTGTTTGATCTTGCAGTATAATGACTATGAAAAGGTTGTTGATATACCTTGCATCAAGTATGCATAAAGATTGTTTTGGTGCAAATATTAAACTGATATGCAGATTGCTTGATTTTGCTTGATCTTGGTGCAATTAAGGGAGGATTAAGGCAAATCTCAGCAGCATAAAACTCTAAATTTTAATCTATCAGGAGTCAAGGAGTCAGGCAATCAGGCAATGACATCCTAAAGGCAAAGAAATGGCTTAGTTAGCCAGGAATATGTTGGCTAGTTACAAGAAGGTTTTCCTTAAATTCTTCATAGGAGTATACAACACTAGCTCAGGTTTTGCCTGACAAGGGAACAAACCATCTTATGTCAAGTTATTTTACAGGGAACGTCTCCATCGTCTGATGTTTTGTCTGATAAAGGAACTAAATCAAATGGAGAGAGCAAAGGAAGCAAGGGCGGATCTCCCTTTGAGGAAGGTGCTGGAGATGAAGTTAAGCATGCCCTTCAGGAGGAGCAAGGTCATGATTCCCCAACACCTACTGCAAAGCAGAGCTCAGAGGATGACAAGACATCTGCCTCCTTTAGGTATGTGAATTTTTTTCTTCAAGGGCCATGCACATTTGATTTAATGTTACTTGGGTAACATTTTTGTAGCTTACTGCCTAAAGAGGCATAAGCTACTATGCTGTCCTTCTGAGTGAGTGAGTGTAACAATAGAGCCCACAATGAACTCTGCTGATTTTGATCCAATATTCCCTGATCTTAACTCCTTTTTGTATCTATGGACTTCTGTGAAGTGGTAGATACTATGCTATCCAGAGTGTAAGTCCTTCTGTATGTCCATAACCTGTGGATAATGCTTGGAATTCAGTTCGGTCTTCTCTAATATTGTTTGATTTTTCGTATCTTGCGTTGGCGATTCGTGATTACTCTGTCTGTTCAAATGCTTGTCTCTTTGGGTGTCAACATGTATGTATCCATTGATACATATTAAGTATCTGATAGTATTTAGTATCTCCTGGCCATGTTCATATGACATTAGATGACCACAGCTACTGTGCTAGACTCCTTCCTAGGTGCTGACAGTGCTATTGTCATTCAGCCCTCAGTTACATTACCAAATTCAAACTTGAAAGGAAAATTAATTGAATGTGGCAGCTTTAGAGGGAAAAAACTTTTAAACCTGATTAAAGCTCTTTTGTGCCACCTATAAAAGTAAGTCAGTAGTCTCAACTCAAAATTCACTTCTGGAAACTCTCAAGAATTAAGTAACAGAAATCCTGTTTTGAGTTTTAAGGCTTAAAGAACTTTTTGGTGTGATACCTTAATTTTATGCAGACAAACTAGTTAGTTTTCAATGATTCTGCAATGATATATTTCCTGTTGAAGATGGTCAAGATTGTCTTGGATAAGTGACTGTAGTGTAAGCTGAAACAAGAAAGGTGTAAATAAAGGAAAGTTTCAGTATGGCAGAGAACTTAGCTATGTTGGAAGTATCTTTCTGTGAGCTTGTTGCTTAAACTGTCGAAGTAATTAGAGAGCTTACTTTTAGATCAGCAGTAAACTGGTTCAAGCCTAGTTGTAATGGAAAAAAGACACTTAATATAGAAACTCTAATCTTTGTATTGGGCAGGATCCATGCTGTTAGGATTTTTACCCATTAGTTAGGCATAAGGTAAAAAGCTTTAAGTGAACAATTAGTTGCATGAAAATTCCTTTCTTTTCTTGTCTGAAAAGCCTGGAAACTCCATTTGAAAGTCTTGCAACTTGACTTGAGCCTCAATCCTTGAAATTATCAAGTTATTCTCCAGAATACCTTGACCTTGGCATTGCAGAACTTTAGTAATTAATGCAGCTCTAGCAGCTCATTGTTGAATCAAGTTTATGATTTATTCATAAATTTTGTCTGAATTTCATTTTCTGTAAGACTTTGAGTTGGGGTTGCTAGAAACTGGTTTTTTCAATATCTTTGAAAATTTTTAGAAGTCCTGGTAAATGGACAAATGTAGGTTTGAAATTTTCTAAAACACAAGCATGGCTTTCAACTTGTGATGTTTGCAAGTCAATTTGCATGTGTAGCACTATAAGGTATGCCTTCTGGTCACCTGTTTCCTGTTTCATCAGAAATATAGTTTTAGTAGATGGTTTGTTTGTAATAACATCATTTGCGGAGGAATCTCGTTAAGGGAACATCATTAAAAATCTTTTGAACTTTTGAGTTCCAAGAATATCTGCTCTCTCAAGGGCAGCTGTTTCAGTTAGGATCATGCTTCTTAACCTGATTGTCTCTGCAATACTTATTTTTTTGTGTTAGCATAAGTCTAGAGGGGTGTTCAAATGCTTTTTACATCATGCATTCTAACAGTGCACTTGAAAAAAAAAGAATGAAAAAGTTGGAGTGAGTTTAGTATTGATCATTGACAAAGATTGATGAACAAGATATATCTGTTGTCCCAAAGATAACTTGAGTGAAAAATTGCACATTATAATATTCTCAAAGTTACAGAAAATTTTATGCATTTTAGTATTTTAAATTGTTCACACTTCACATTATTTCCAACCTTCTCCCCACCTCCAAAAGAAAAATGAAGAAAGAAAATTAATAGATTTTTGTTTGGAGGTTACATGGGATTGGCAGTTTGCAATTGTGCAAAGTTTTAAAGGCAGACAGTTTCTTTGGAGAAATTCTAGAAACATGACATGGAGAAAATGTATGCAAAACTTCTGGCATATGCAGGGTACTATTATGCTTGTGATTGTTTTTGGGATGAGTAATCTTTAGTTCTTGGCAATTAGATTTTAGTGACAATAACTTAGTTTTCTGTGAGAATTGAAACAAACCACCACCAATAACAATAAACCCTAAATTAATAGTTATGGTTTTTATTACTTTACCTCAGTGTCAAGCAAACATCTGGTACCTCTTTTGTGTTGGGAATAAGACATCTGCAAACTGACTTTCACATGAAGAGAGCGTGCATGAAGAAAGCTAATTGCCTCTGAAGCCCTGGTGATTTTCCAGAATTTTTCAAATTGTGTCAAAAATTGTCTTTGATTTGCTCCTATTAGTTTCCTAACTGTCGTTTCCCAGGTTTGAATCCTGAAATTGATGGTTCTTGCTGGTCAGAAATGCATGAGGAGATAAGCAATTCCACATAACATTTCACTTGTTTCTTTTTTTAGCCGAACTCCTGGCAGTAGACAACCATCTCCTACTTCAGGCCCTCAACATCAAGATGCTCAGCAGACCACCCAAACACAGCTGCCCACACAGCAACCAGTGGGTCAGAACAAAGCCAAACCCTTCAAACAGTCTGATGCTATGGAAGACATTGTCACGCCTGTGGCATTAATAGATCCTCTGGAAAGTGTACCACTGGAGCAACTTTCATTTGCACCCCAGAGAGAGCCTGTGGTGGGTACTCCTACAAGTCCATCAGATTTTGTTATGGTCTCTGGAGCATCTTTACAAAGCCATAATGCTCCCTCTCAGCATGGTCAGTCACTTCACTTGACACAACATCAGTTGGCATTAGCAATGGCTGCTCAACAACAGCAACAACAGCAACAGCAACAACAACAGCAACAACTTGGATTACAGTCTGGCTTGCAATCCACTGGTATTGGCCATCCAAACCCATACTTCATCACAGCACCACCATCCCAAGATCCATATGGTAATCCTTCACTTGCTGCAGTCAGTGGCGGTGCCCATCAGGTGGTCCATCCTCAATATGCAGCTTATAGTGTTCAACCATGGGGTGTGTATTCTGCGGCTGGAGCATCAGGTACAGGAGGATACCTTCAACAGCAACAACAGCAACAACAACAGCAGCATGCTCAGCTGCTCCGCTCTAACTCGGGTGGGATGACTGGACGGCCTATGCAGGGACAGGTGGAGATTATTGGGACTCCGCCATCACACCAGCAACAGGCAATGGCTGCTGCATCTTCTGGAACTAACTACCAGCTAGTAGCTCCAGCTGGGGCAGCCCCTTTGGGACTAGGAACTACTGCTTACTATGATCAGTCAGGGAACTTGGTGCTAGGGAATACACAAAATGTTAACAATATGGCAACAGCACAAATGGCAGCTAGTCAGATGGGAGCCCTCAGAATGGTATCACCAGTAGTGGTAAATGCCCAGAATGCAGGTGCCAATTCTGTCACTGGAGGACGACTGGGAAGTGCCAGCTCAATGGGTGGTGCGTCAACATTAGGGCTGTTTGGACAACAGCAGCAACAGCCACAATTGAATAGCAGTGCTCTGGGTATGCTGGGAGGTGTTGTGGGAGGCTCGTCTGGAGTTGGGGCTGTTGGTACCATTCCAGGTGGAGGAACTAGAAGAGATTCTATGAATGCTACTGAATATGGCAAACGAGCAGGAATCACCCAGTACTATACAACCCCAGGTGCTGTAAGCAGCCTTGCAAGTTTGTCAATCTCAGCACAACCATCTTACAATACTCCTCAGGAGCTGCCAACACCTCCTCTTCTTTCACAGGGACAGTCAGGGTTTGGTGGTCAGTCAGCATATGGCGGACAGTCAGGCTTCACTGTAGGAAGCCCCTTATCCAATGGACTCTCTCGTTACATGCAACTTGCAGCTGCTCCCAGAGATACTCCTACAAAATATCAGGGATCACTTGGTGGACTAGGTGGAATGCAATATGGCAGCTCGGCTTTAGGTGTTGGTAGCTTTAGAGGATCAAGAGGTAAAGAAACAGGGAGAAGTAGGCTTTTAGAAGACTTCCGTAATAATCGCTATCCCAACATCCAGCTGCGTGACTTGGCAAATCACATTGTGGAATTCTCACAGGACCAACATGGTTCAAGATTTATCCAGCAAAAATTAGAACGTGCTTCTCCTACTGAAAAGCAGATGGTTTTTCATGAAATCCTCCCAGCTGCTTACAGCTTGATGACTGATGTGTTTGGAAACTATGTTATACAGAAGTTCTTTGAGTTTGGGAGTCCTGAACAGAAGCATCACCTTGCCAACTGCATTCGGGGACATGTGCTGCCTCTTGCCTTACAAATGTATGGATGTCGCGTCATACAGAAAGCATTGGAGTGTATTTCTCCAGATGTTCAGGTATGTTAACCCTCAGTGAACACGTACTGTATTTCTACAAGAAATTTACATCTAAGGATCAGGAAATTCACTCAGCCACAAATGGTGCAATATTAGTCTTAAATTGAAGTACTGAAATGTAAAAATATCTTGTACAGTTTTGTGAAGTAAATTTTAGCTGTGCTGAATCAAAGCAATTGTGAAGGTATGATTTGTCCTTGAATTGATGTCCTGATAGATGGTGAGACACAAAGGCACTTATTTAACTCTTTAACTATCATGAGTGACCAAGACAGAATTTCTCCCTACAATATTAATAAAATATCTAGCAGAAATGAGGTGAGAACAGAGAAAAATATCAATTAGGGGATTATTAGGTGCTCCAATACCAAATTCCCAAACTAACATTATAAGAATTTTATAGACAGTAAGGGGAATTACTCGTGTGATCTTGCAAGTGAAAGGGTTGAGACTCTTATCCCTTTCCCTCCCCGGATCTCTTTCTTAATTCTCCTGACTGTCTGCCAAACAGTTCTTATGATGCAAGTTTGGAGAATTTGGTGCTTGATCAGCTAATGATCCCCTCATTGATATATATATATATATTTAAATTCTCATACCTTGTCTACTTGATATTAGTCCAGTCCTTGTTACAGATGTACAAGTTTGTCCTTCCTCTTCTGTGTCACACAATAAAATATGTGTGAATATGTCTACTAGATGGGGTCAACAACACATTGTCTCTTTTAAATAGCTATGTTAACTTATGGTATGTTATGTGTTGTAGAATGATCTGGTCAGAGAACTGGATGGACATGTGCTGAAGTGTGTCAAGGATCAAAATGGGAACCATGTAGTACAGAAGTGTATTGAGTGTGTTGACCCATCTTCTCTTCAGTTCATTATTGGAGCTTTCCAGGCACAGGTATTTAGTAGATACATTTTAAAAACAGTTGTTGCTTCAATTGTAGGTATGTTAATGTCTGTGATGATAAAACATGCAGAAAAATTGTTCTACAAAAAAAACTTCAAGTTAACAGGATCTGTTAACCTTTGGCAGCATTCATTGCGCAAAGGTTAGTGGAGTGGAGTGGAGTGGAGAAAATTAATGAAGCATCCCAAGGTTTAACCCTTAAACCCCTAAGAGTGACTCGCATCTAATTTCTCCTTACAATATCATCCCTGAGTCACACATTAAGGTCATGAGAATAAAGTTTTGATTCCAAAGTTCCTACTTTGTATTTGTTTTTTTATTGATGGTGATGTTTATGAATAAATCTCCAAGTTAAGATTGTTAATTGTTAATGCCAAGTATTGGGAAAAGCAAACAATAGGGGGACTCTAGGGGAGCCTTTTCCAGGATTCTATTTTTCTGGAAAAAAGAAAAAAAATAAAAGCTTAGTTTCTTTTTGTAAGTTTGCCATTTGCGACTTCACCAAACAAATTTTTTTCTTGGTTCCAAATATTCAAAGTCAATTCTCCATGATACCATGAAAATGACTATCAGTGATGTTACTTAACTTGTGGATAACTCATTGTTCCATAATTGCAGGTGTATGCTTTGTCAACTCATCCTTATGGATGTCGTGTGATCCAACGTATCCTTGAGCACTGCATGCCAGAGCAGACCTCACCAATACTGAATGAGTTGCATCAGCATACAGAAAGACTGGTTCAAGATCAATATGGTAACTATGTGATCCAACATGTCTTGGAACATGGCACACCTGAGGACAAGAGCAAGATTGTGCATGAACTCAGAGGCAACATACTGAATTTTAGCCAGCACAAATTTGCCAGGTAATTTTGCTTTTAAGAATTATCTCAAAGCTGAAACAAAGGGGGTATCCATAGTAATTTCTTCAAGTAACAAGCACTAAAGTTATTTCAAGTTTGAAACGACTGAAAAAAGAAAAACATCAAAAAATGAACCATATGTTTTATTTATTACCAACAGTACTCAATTTTTTCCAAGTCTACCATATTTCACAAGTTTAGAAGATTGACTGTCTCTTTTTCCTTTTCTTTTTTTTTTTAGCAATGTGGTTGAGAAGTGTGTTACTCATGCTTCGCGTACAGAAAGAGCTATGCTCATTGACGAAGTTTGCAGCAGCAGTGATAAGTAAGATGCAGTGTTTTTTTTCAATTTTCCTTAGAATGTCAATAAATATGTGCCCCTGAAATGCTGTTACTTTGATCTTTTTTATTTTATTTTTTTGTTTTATTTTTTTTAAGCAAATTCTGATGTAATCTTTACTTTGACACTTGATCAATATTTGCAAGGCTGCAACTTCTTTAAAACATAGATATTTATGCCTGTATGTTTTGGTGGAGATTAACAAATTTGTACTTGATATGCATTTTGTTTGGTTTAGAAAAGAGAACTTTTTTATACTTAATAACTTTGGAAATGTCTCAAAGGTTGTTCCCAAACATATTTTGTTACTTCTAGTGAAAAATTTTTATTTCAGTATTTGCAGAAGGCGAAATGAACATTTGTGAATAATTGTCAAAGTAATTATCAACAACATTCATTGAGCCTGAGGCAAATAATTGTTTTAGTATAATTGCTCAGGTGCTGCTATAGATTTGTTTTGATGTTGAACCATTCTTTTGCAATAGCTTTGATTACTTCTATTGAGATAAGCAGCCAATTTCTATTTGAATTTAACAGGTTTATTTAATTCAGCAGGCAAAAGCTCAACATATATTTTGAAAAGTGGTATGTCAAACTCAGTAGCATCTTTTGCACTCCTTGGAATTGAATTTCTATAGCAATTTTAACTTCCTCTGTAACACTGACGAAATGTAAGGCAGCTATTTTGAAATTTAGTGCTCTCACTATAATCATCATGTGCTAGATGATTATAGAAAGATGATGCAATCCCTGACCAATCGACCTGAGTGCATCTCTATAATCACTAGAGCAATAATAACTTTCTGTAGACTTGCTACTTTGGGAAAATACACTGATGTTTAATTCTTGACATGACTTTTTATGTTTAGTGCCTTGTACACTATGATGAAGGATCAGTTTGCAAACTATGTTATTCAGAAAATGATTGATGTGGCAGAACCACCTCAACGCAAGCTGCTGATGCACAGGATTCGGCCCCATGTGGCAACATTGCGCAAGTACACTTATGGAAAACACATTTTAGCCAAGTTAGAGAAGTACTACATGACAATGAAACCAACACCAGATTTCCTCCCTTTGACAAATGGTCCTTTGCTTTAGAAACATACTTGGTTGAAGGCACCCATTTTCTGTTTGTTTGTTTGTTTGTTTTTTTTTTTGCTTAAATTTTTTGGAGATGTTTTTAGATTTGACATCATGATTATAGATCTATTGATACTGATCAAAACCTTGATTTGGTGAAATATTTTCATTCTTATGAAGCTGTAAATTTCCTTGTAAAACTGTAAAGAAAATCCTTTCTTATAGGTGTTGATCTTATATTTTACTCAATTTAAAATCTTTTTTCTCCAAATCAGTTCTCATTATTGACGTTCTCGGTTCAATTATTGAATTTTATGCATTGAAAAGCTTCATCTGTGTGTCAACTGTACCAATGAATGCAGTTAATTTTTTTTACCTGTAATTGTATAGGTAAAACGTAGTTGTTGCGTCTTTTTGATCAAGGGCAGATTGATGGTTGAATTTTATCATTTCAATGAACTTTTAGTTTTCTTAAATGGAATAGCTATCATTGATGACAGTTACATGTTAAATGTATACATTTGCTTAAGTAATAGTTAATAAAAATGCTAGGTCCGATAATTGTAGTATTTCCTTCCGCGTGGGAGGTAGATTCTTTTTGGTAGATAGATAGCACATGCATGTTATGTTAATAAACAAAGCTTATTAATTAGGAAAAATTACAGGCAGTCAAAGCCAGAGTCAGCAATCCTGTTATTTCAAGTGGGTTTCTAAGAGCTGTGAGTGTCCATCCCGGCAGTATGTAGACGTGTTACTATGAATCAAAGCCTGCAAAGATTATTTTAAATTTTATTAGGTAAATGTACAATTTACCATTTTTGGCATCTGTTTTGACATTTAGAAACGGTTAATCTTTTATAAGATAAATTGTTTCCCATACTAGTTAGCAAAGGAAGTACATGCCTGTCAATGATTTTTCTGTAGTTTTCAGGTTGTTTGCAAAAGATAAGAGTGAAAATTATGTAAAGTATTTATTTGACGGGAAACCCAAGCCCATGTATGTAATGTTAACAGGAAATTGCTTGTACTTTAGGTTAATGACTGTTTGTTGGTAGAGGTTTCAATACCTTCACTGAAATTTCATGAGGCGTATTCGTTTATTGTTTCTTAAGTTGGAATTCCAATAGTATGACTCGTACTTGCGCCTTGTGTCTCAAACCTACTGATTTGCAAGATGAACGGCACAGCTGTAAATGTTGTGAATTTCTGGGGCGGCACAGTTTGGCATACAAGGAAAAAGTCCTATTAAAATAATCTTGTTAAAAATTTCAACTAGAAGGTGGTTCCTTCATACTTAAGAACTTTTTGACAGTTGTACATGTTTCACTTACTGAAGCAAAAATGCTGTGACCATATTTGGGAAAGGGAAGGTGTAGCCGTCTTAGAGCGTTTTCACTCGCGTGGTGAGCAGCCTTGTAAATTAATTGGAAGAGAAGAAAGTGTTTACATAAAAAGAGAGTTCAGATTATACAAGACTGACTTAGTTTACCAATAACAGCCACGTGGGGTCGGCCGGAAGCGATCTATAGTTCAGGGCTATGCTCTTCCCTTGCTTTTAGAAAATAATTTTTTCGAATTCTCCCCACTATTGTATTGTGTAAGGTGAATAGGCGAGGTAATTAGCCACGTGTTGTAACATTCAAGTTTCTATGTTTTGTAAGTATGTATGTGGATTTAATTCAGGTGGCAAACTTCTATATATTTGATTCAAAGAATTGTAACAAAATGTAAACTGTAACATTGCAATGTTTTTAAGGCCCTTGTAAGGAAATTCTTGTACATTCTGTACATTTGTAAATGGCCACTGGCGAGAGCTGCATTGAATTGTAACCAGCACACTGTATAGATAACGTAAACATACTTGTAGCGGCTATCGCAAGTGCAAGTGTTCGAGTGTTTTCATAAACGTCTCGGGGTCCATGGTTTGGATGTTCAAAGGTTGATTATCAGAAACTTGTACTTGGGATGTATGTCGCTGGACAGAGCAGTTTTGCTTCGGTAAATATTTCGTACCACTGTTTATATGTATTCAGAGATATTAAACACTATCAAAACAACAAAGACAAATATATTGTAAGGATAATTTATCATTTTGATCAAGAGCGCTTAAAACTTTTTGCCGTTTTAGGTTTTAGGGTAATTTTAATCAGACTCGGTTTTCCTTTTTTTTTTTTTTTTTTTGGAGTCTCACGGTGTAATGAAGCAGAAAGGGTTAGTGTTTTTGTATGTTTCTGTAAAACTGAACAAGTCCCGCCTTGTACAATGTGTGCGGTTGTGTAGAAGTATGTAAATGATGTAAAGAAAGTAGCCTTTTCAATTCCTGTATTAAAATTTAAAGGTGGTTGCACAAATAAATGATATTGTTTATCAGTTTTGTTTTGACTTCTTTGTTGAAAAGAAATCTCTGTTTGTTCATTTTTAAAAAAGTTGCCTCCTTCACAATCAATCTATCAGATGTCTCCTTATGTAATTTACTTCCTAAATACCCACGTTCTTTGAGTTCTACGTCCTTTTTCTCGCATCTTTGGCGGGAACCGATTTAACTTTTTGATATTGCAGAATGCCTATAGGCTGATAAAAAACTGAAATTCGTTTACTTTTTTCTTCAAAGGCGTGGCTCAAATATCACGTCTATCAGGCGTAATTTTGGTGAGCTAGTGCTAAGTATTTTCTTAACGAAAATTATAACCGCCACCTTTGGTACAGAAGAGGGCTTCTCGTATGAATATAGTAAACCCAGAAATGGATAACTACAACATAGTAAGCGGTCATATTACAAGCGATACTCTGTGGGAGTAAGGCGAGGTATTGTTACTGAGAATTTGACTGTATGTTTTAATTCCTAGAAGCGATCGTTAATATTCCCATACAAACTCGTATAATTTCGCCATGACTCACATTTCGCAGGACGGTCATTTCACAGCTGGAGCTTGGGCTGCCTGTGGTCTTAATTTTCAACCTCAGCTAAAAGAGCAACCACGAGGCAAAATTAAGATTATTGACTTACTATGCTTTATGCACATGCTTTGCGCAAACCAGATTCAGCAAAACAAGCGTTTACGGAACAAACGCCCTAGTGATGATTTCGTGTTGGGTCTTCAGCGGACTGTGTGTTCGTAGTAACTGAAGGAGCGGTACACAAAACACGTCCTTTAAAACTTCTAAATGATGGTAAAAATTACCTGCTGACCTAAACACGACGAACTTCTCACTATAGCAACGAGGTATCATGCAGGGTATTCATCATTGCACTGATTAGATAAACCCACCGCGATAAATTTTTAGTGTTCTTAGTGTGCGTCAGTGTTGATTTCATTGTAATATTTAGCGGCACCCTAAGTCCATGTCACGATTAGCTACTTAAATAATTTCAAAAACATTCGAAGAAAAATGGTCCAACATCTCTGCTGTAACATTTGATTATGTAGTCTGATCGTCCGGATGAGGGTAGTCCTGAGAAGGACTGTTGTCGTCAGTGGCGACTCAGACTGAGGACCTACTTTTCTCCTTCTATTCGCGAAAGTATTCACTGGTATCGTGGATCGCTGAAGTTAATGAGATCTATAGCTTCTGCGTCATGTAAGCCTGAACAGAAACAATGCGTAGACCAGTTGTCCAAAGTTAACATAACTGAGGTTCACTGTAGTTTCATTTAAGCATGGCGACGTCATCGTTTCTGCTATGAGGTTGACCATATGTACCTTTGGAGAGGTTAACACTGCAAGAAAATATCTATGAATAGCTTCGAACAGTCGAATTCTGAGCTTCAGTGACTTTAACAAGCTCCTCAATTTTAAAGATTCGGCCAACAACCAGTCCCTTTCACAATGAAAACTGGTTTTATTTAACCAGTTCTAAGTATTTATATAAGTTTCAAACAATGAAAATTGATCTCCCTCAGATAAAGTTTAAAATTTATGTTTGCTCCATTTCTTGCAAATAATGTGATCCCACGACTAAGTGTGTACGCACTGTGGACCTACTTTTCTCCTCCGCTGAGTGAGTTTTAAGGCTTCTGCGTCATGTAAGCCTAAACAGAAACAATACGTCGAACAGTGGTACAACATGGCGGGTCAGTACCCTGGCTATGGTGGCTACAACCCAGCAGCTGGCTCAAATCCGTACGGAAATCAGCCTCATCCTCAAGGTAAGAACAAGGATTATCCTATAACGCAGAATTTATTATTATTCAAATGAAAAAACTATTGTACAAAATACGACTATTTTACTGTTTTAAAAAACTGTGAAGTGCTATATTGTTCATGTAGAAAGGTGTGTGAAGTTATCAAAGGCATTGTCCGTGATTATCGTTAAGATTATTTGGTTTCACCTGAATCACGTTTGCCAGTGTTTATTCAATGAAGGCCTCTTGAAAAAAAAAGCCATCTTTCTAATTTTTCAGTTAGGTAGCAACACTCTCGGGACTTTCTCAGTTCTAGAAATCCAGTGGATCTCACGCTAACTTTGTCTTTAAATTCACGACATTTTATACCATCCACATACTATTTTTTCACAAGTATGCAATAATTTTTTATCTCGCAAAATGTTTTGGACAGAATTTATTTGATCAAGGAGACATGTTCTAGAAAAGAGCCTTCCTATGTCACAGCTTAGAACTTAATGCCAGTTTTCAAAAGGAATGAAGCTAATTTGAGAAAATTCAAAGTGTTTGAAGAACTTAAAACCTCTTTTCCAAGCAGCAAAGTAAAGAAACTTTTTTAACTTGCATATATATATATATATATTGTTTTTCAAAAATCCTTCCAAGGTAATTTTTATGGGATGCAAAATAATCTGCATCTATCAAAACCAATTTTAGGTAACAGGCATAGTACATTTGATTTTATGTTTTCCTTTTCAGGTTATGGACAGCCTCCTGGTTACCCACCCAGCATGGGCTATCCACCTCCTGGTGGGGGGTACCCCGGGGGGTATGGAGGATCTTCTGCTCCACCCCCAGGAGCTGACCCTACCTTGTGGAACTGGTTTGTTACTGTTGATAGAGACAGGTCAGGTCAAATAACAGCAGATGAATTACAACAGGCACTGCTTAATGGAAACTGGTCCCACTTCAACAGTGAGACATGCAGGCTTATGATTGGTAAAGTGCCCTTTTTCTTTTACATTTACTTGTCATATTAATTTTGTCCTTCAGAACCCAAGTTTGTCTCACATATATGCATTTTTTTATTATTACTTTTGAAGCCAAAGATCTCTCAAAGATCACCAGGTTTACCACACTTGCTGCTAATATTAAATTTGTGCATTTAGGCATCTCTTATTTGCTGTAAAACAAAAAAAAATCAAAGATGTATATTGATTTTCTTGTTTTCATATGTACATGTAAAAAGGCATTTTGGCCATGATTGGTTATTGATTATGAACATCAATGGATCAATCTCTTGTTATTATCCAACTACACTTACTAGAGTACAAATGATGTGCCAATCAAGTACAAATATCACATAATATTTGGACAGTTGGTTATTTTATACTGTTAAAAAGCTAGTTCAACTAGTTTGCAACATGTGCTATGCTTTTCTATCTGCTCTGCTTTTCTATCTGCTCTGCTTTTCCTGTGGTTTTAAAAAATGCATATAAAATAAAGTAGTTGGGTAATAAATACCAACAACTTATTAGATGTTTTGATGTACCTGGTATTGCTGAGTGTTTTAACTTGTAGTTTGTATTTTGACCTGCCCTGTGTCAATCCATGATAACTGAATAGGTTTCCTTATCCCATTCAATGGATTTGGCTTAAAATTAGTCACTTTAATGTCAATGATTTGAGCAGATGAGTAGACCCCAAACCTACAGCAGAAATTGGCTGATTACTAGATAATGTTAGCCTGGATTCTTGACTCTGCCTGTCTACTCATTCAGATTTGGGATCCTAAGTCATCTGTATCAGATCAGGTTATCCAACTCTATGGAATTGGTTTTTGATAGTGATGGTCCTGCGCAATGAACTATTTGGCCACTAGGATATTTCTGGCAATGTGTAACCTTGTTAATTAAAAAACAATTTTTTCCCTTTTCCACACCTTTGTAAAACAACACTATAAATGTCTTTTTCATAATATTTTAAGAGTCCTTATGCTCAATAACAAATGTATGGCTGTGTTTTTGTTGTTGGAGTATAGAAACTTGATGCCTGTGGGGAGGTGGTTGCATGGAGATGTTGAACAATCAATTACAAGTTGTTTAGTTTATGGCATGTGTTTTTATCAGGTATCTTTGACCAAGATCAGTCTGGTACTATCAGTTTCCAAGAGTTTCAACAACTTTGGAAGTATATTCAGCAATGGAAGGGTGCATTTGACAGATATGATTCGGACAGATCAGGAGCTATAGAGTCTCAAGAATTACATCGAGCTTTTGCTGAGATGGGTTTTAATGTTTCACCGCATTTTGTCAACATCGTCGTTACCAGGTACCTGCAGCTTCTTGCATATGAGTATAGAGTGGTTCGTAAATTGGTTTTTTGTTCGTAAACATCATCCTGCAATGTAAAATTTTCTTCTAAGCCATTTGCTCATGAAAGAGGATTCATGATATTTAAACTCCTTCAAATTTTAAATTAAAACATTTGCATTAAGCTGGCTCAAATTTCCCACCCCATGAATGACAGCCAAATGCCTGTGGGTTGCCAGGCAGGGTGGGGTGGGGGGGTGTTGAAGCTTCTAATTGATCAGCACACAACCTATTGTAGTCACAGAATAATGTGATAGTGTAGTTTAATCGTCTGGTTGAGTGTAGTCCTGAATAAGCTTCTCTTTTTTTTTTTCTTATGCACTTTCTTATGCACTTTGACAGGTGTTGGATCGTGTCAGATAATTAAAAAAAAATGTTTCAAAGTTTGCTAGGAAGCCTTCTAAATCACCCTTATCTGTTTACAGATAAAAATTTTGTTGGGAAGCCTCTCTTTTTAGTTGCATTACCTTTGTTTTCTCTACCATCTACTCCCTCAACATTGGTCCACTTATGGAGGCCTTTGCTGTAATTACAGTCCTAAATCATTAGGGTTTTTTTGGAAAACACTTTGTGAAGTTTTAGAAAAAAATTAAAATGATATTCTCCAGCCTAGGTTGGTCCGTATTGGGAAAAACTGTGCCCTCTGTCTTGAGTACTGCCCTTTGTCTACAGCCTTAAGCAATACTCAAGACCTCAGGCATAGTTTTTCCCAATATGGACCTCCCAGTTGGTGAATGACAAACATATATTTTAATATTAAAAGAATGCTTTTGACCTATTTGTTTACCAGTTATTTGTTTACCAGTTACTGGGCACATTGACACAAATTGGCCACATTGCTTCTAAAAGTTGATTTACCCTTACTTTGTTTATTATGAATATTTTGTACAGTTTATTTACTCTGTTCATCAGGTTTGATCAACATGCTCGTAGAAGTTTAAAGCTGGACAGTTTTATCCAGTGCTGTGTGATGCTGCGAGGACTAACAGATGCTTTCCGAGTCAGAGACACAACCATGAATGGCAGCATCACCATTAATTATGAAGACTTCATGTGCATGGTGTTGTTGAACAAGCCTTAAATTTGTGTTTAAACTGGATAAAGAAAAACAGTATTGAATTCCCCTTTCACATCACACTTATTGTTAAATTGTAGACTCAACTGAGTACTTTTCATCTTTGAAAAATACAAACTACTGTAGGTGTTGCATATCTAATTTTGACAGCTTTAAACAAAGCTTTTTAGAACTGTTGGTGGGCCAAAAAGGCTGACATCTATTGGCCACATTATCTCTTTAAAAACACCCTTCCTACTTTTTTTTGAGTGCAGTTAACCATTTATCCTGCAGAGTTTGGTTGGCAAATTCATCTGGATTAGTCCTGAATTGTTCAAATTTTTATAAACATCACAAAAATGAAAGTGTGGAAAGAAAGCCTTTTTTTCAAATTGAAAATTTGTTCCAATCACATTAGTATGGACAAGGGCAAAATGAAATTGCTACTAAGGCCTTATAAACCTCATAATTGTACATACATGAGATGTAGCTATATAGGTGTAAAATCTATGTTATGCTGTTCGTTTATTTAGTCCATAGAACTTTACCTGTAAAAGTTTACAAGTAGCTACTCAAGAAACCTCTTAACAGTGGATGTTTATGAGATAAGCAGACAAATACTTCCTTTTAAAATTGGACATCCACTCACAGTGTGGTTAGGTGATTGCAAGTGCAGTTTTGAGTGTTTCAGTATTTATGACTCTTTGTTGTCTGAAATGAAATAAAACTCTCTGATTACTTACTCATGTCGTAATCCATTTTTTTAATTATTAAGTATTTAATTGGGATGGCACTTGCTTAGGATGACTGAAACAAACTTTAAAAAAAAAAATGGAAAGATATTTTCCTGGGGAAAAACTGTCAAATGAGGAGGTAAGCCGCACCCCTGATTTGATACGAACATATTAGGAGAAAAAGTTGTTAATTCTCTGCTTTATGGTAATTAATGATGCTCAAGTTCTTCTCTCCACCTTAATTTGTGACTGGGAGCATTTTTTTTTCACTCAGCCAATGTGGTTTGCATTTTTAATGGTATTTGATCTTTTGGAGGAATTATGGTTCATCTTATTCATCTGATTCATTTGATTTAATGCTCAAACTCTGCAGAATTAATCATTTGGTTATGAGAAATATATTAATTAAGGAGTCTTAACAATATTTATCTTGCCACAAATTCTTACAATATGCTTCTTTTGATTTTTTTGTCTACCTTACTAAAAATGAAAGAAATACCGTATTTACCCGTGTATAATGCGAACTTATTTTTCCCGAAATGAACACCTAAATTCGAGATGCGTATTATACACGGAATCCTTTGTTTAGGCTCACGCGACATTAGAATAACAAAGACACATAAGCGTGCGATGTAATTGGTCTTTAATTTGAGGGTAAACTAACCTACCAATGACATGTTAACAATTTGGATCCTTGAATAAATTTAACTAAGTATTTAAGCGAACAGCTGATCAACAAAACAGTTACTGTAATCTTGAGCAATCAAACGTAAACATGGCTACAAAACTCGCCGAGAAACAACTCGGGAGAGAAAACGATCAAGATTCGTACGACGGGTAATGAAAAGAACCGCATTACAGTCGTGTTGACCTGTGCTGGCGATGGAAGCAAACTGAGACCGATGGTAATCTTCAAAAGAAAAACTCTCCCAAAGGTTGCCAACAAGCACGGAGTTGTAATCGCCGCTCAAGAGAAAGGTTGGATGGACGGTGAAGGAATGAAAACATGGATCGACAAAGTTTGGTGTTCGAGGAGAGGTGGCCTGGGGAGGAGAAGAAGCCTGCTTGTTTGTGACGCGTTTGAAGCCCACGTGACCGAAAGAGTGAAAACAGCACTGACACGAGAAAACACGAACTTAGCAGTAATTCCAGGCGGATTAACCTCGATCTTGCAGCCGCTGGATGTCTCTTTAAACAAGCCGTTTAAAGATGGTGTTAGAAAGAGGTGGATGGAGTGGATGGCGGAGGGAATCCATGAATTTACAGCGAGTGGCCGCCAAAAGAAACCATCCGAGGAACTGATCCTTTCGTGGATCGCAGGAGCATGGCAGGACATTTCCGAAGAAATGATTGAATCCTCATTTCTAAAATGCGGGATCACCAACAGCCTTGATGGATCCGAGGACGACCTAGTTTACGAGGCCAACGATGACTGCAACAACGAGCTCGATGACTCGTTTGCAAGAGAACTGTTCCAGTCAGACTCCGAGTCCGAGTTTGAAGGATTTGATAGGTGAAAGATGTTGTAACCATCATTTCGTTAGTTTGCCAAGTTAATTGAAATAAATAATGTTATACAATTTCACCTTCTTGTTGAGTAGTTTCTTTTTCTTTTTTCTCAAAATTTGGTCTGAAATTGGGATTCGTATTATACACGGGCCCGCATTATACACGGGTAAATACGGTAAATTATGATTGTGCATGTTTACTTGTAGATATATCCTTTACATCACTTTACTGTGTCTTGGAAAGAAAGTTGCAAGAAGGAAATGATTTGGTTTTCAAACAGAATCACTCAGAATTATTTCAGCCATTGATGGCCATAAAATTCCTTGTTGTTTCCATTATTATCTTGGAGAATTTTGACTGTATTCACCACACAGCACCTGTATCACTTGGAAATAAAATTTTGTCTAGAGAGTTAAGAGGGCCTGAAGTAAATGATCGGATTGGGTTTTAGTAGTTCAAAAAGAGGTCAGTGGTTGTGATGTGCTTCTCATTCTACCGAAAAGTTTAAATCCATGGTTTTTCTGTCTTCAGTGATGACCTGAATCTTGTGTTAGTGTGTAGTAAAAATGTCTGGCCTGAATGCTGATCCACATCACAGACTTTGCTCAGCCACAATTTGATGTCAATTTTATGCCATCTCTCAACTACAGAACAAATTCCTCTGATTAAACCAAAGCACAACCTGTATCTGACAGCAAGATACACTGGAAAAAAAATACTGTGTGGGAAAGTAAAAAATTTTATTCTCCCATACTGAAATTGTACCATACAAAAATAAATAATAAGATATTACATTGATTTCATAAATTTCTTTACATCTGGCAGAGTTTTGGCAATACTGACAAACCTTCAATAGTATTATTTCACCAATTGTAAGCCTGAATGAATACTCCATCATTAAAATACAGAGACTACATAAATCTGTTTAAGAAGTTTGTTACCTGATGTTTAAAAAAACATAAAGGTCATCACAGGCTCACAACATTGCAAAGAAAACTTTTTTGTTTGAGTGACTATAAAAGTGATCTTAGTTATGAAGTACCTTTTCTCAGATTTGTAGAATTGTTGTTTTAGGTAACTCGTTAGAAAAAGCTATTTATTGTATACCTACATCTTTGTATGGAGAATCATCAGAAAAAAGTTTGACTTCATGGGTACAAATAAATAAAGAAAACTTTTATTCAGTCTGTTAAATATTGCATCAAACATGCTTGAACCAGGATTCTGAAGCCAAAATGTGAGTACATCACTACTTAAGAGAAAAACCTGTCCCTTTCTGTGATATATACAAGCTACACAATTCAGCTATAAAACATTTGGACAGTCTTTAATTAATGGGTGTTTATTGAACTTATATATGTTTCTGTCCATCTCTTGAGATTGGCCTACAGAAAAAAAACAAACAAAGATTAAATTAATCTTAGACTCAAAACTAGACAACCAAAAAAATTGTGAGAATGTCAAGAAACCTAACAACATTTTTGGGGCAGAGATTCAGTGTCTGTTGTCCATATCAGAGAGGATCCATGGTGGAGAGTTTTTTTCCAAGTAGAATACATCTCTTGGAATTTTAACAGGAAGTAAACTGTCTGTACTGGAGAGACAACAAATCTAGAGAGATGTCCTTAAATAGAAGTTCAATATTGACTGTACTTATATTAGAAAATTTGTGAAATAAAATTGATCAAACTGTGAAGAACTTTTCTTTTCAGTGGGGTAAACAGTCAAGCTTTCATTTACAATTTTAAAGTGAAAGTAGAGTTTCCTCACATATTTAAAAACTCTATGACAAAGGTAAACCTAAATCATTAAACACACCTTGCACCAAATCAGCGATTCTTCCAGTTTTTTGTAAATATACTTCATTTCCACATCACTGAATAATTGTGAGCTGATCTCTGAGGCTACAGGCTACAAAGAAATAGTTATGTTGTTAATGATTGACATGCGCCTGAAATTCAAGTTTCCCTGATTGTTTTTATACCTAAATTTGTGATATCTCCAGCATCCAAAATACCACTAGTCTAAGCAAAACAATATTTCAGGTTGAATATACCATAAAACAAGCAAACCTTCACAGGCCTCAAGAAATAAGTTTGACCTACTAATGCTGACAAAATACTTAATAGTATATAGAATATACTTGATCTTAACATAAAAGTTTCTTCCCAATTGACTCTTGGTGACCTTTTAAATATTCAATCACAGCATAGGCTTGAAAAGACAGCTTTGAAACTCTTTAAAGTGGCTAATTTACATTGTTAACTCAGTTGATAAAACCAAAATTATCTTGTGTGGAATGTGCACTGGTCACACCCTTGCCACCCTACAAACATTTGGTTGCAATAACAGAAAGGATTGAAAATGGTTGGACCATTGTTTAGCTAAGGACTTCAAAAAGTGGACATAATGATGGTAATGGGAGGAGTTCCACAGTTTATTGGATAATCTGTGCTCTTAGTGGTACTAAGTAGCTATAGGGGAAGCCACAGGGTCACCACTTATAAGCTAAATGTGTATACATCCATTGAGGGTACCTGTTACATTCCCATCTTGTACTTTTTCAGCTTGTGAACATGTGTAAGTTTGGGCCTGGGGGTGGTAGTTGGGGGGGGGGGTGTGCTTGCTGGACACAAGTAGATATTTCTGCAAATTGCTCTTCTAGAACAATACCATATAATAAAACTGACCACCAGGTTAAACTTACCATTACTTTCCTACTATTCTTTAATGAGACATCACGGACAATTTTCATGAGAATGGTTCCCAAGACCTGAAAAGCACAATGAAATTTCATCCACACCAAGAATTACTGCTGAAGACAATTTTGGTTTGCGATCACTCATCGCATATTTGTTCATGAATACAATAAAACGCTCCATCATTTTTGATCTGATAACCTTGAATATATATAAACAATAGCCTCCATTTGGTGTGGAAATATTTAGTAAATAAACCTCTTCTGACCACATGTTTGTTGGCTGACTATGTCTACATTTGAGAGATTGTCCAAAAAAAGAATATGTGGCCAAGAAGTGAAGCTTTCAGGGCAAATGTGAATACTAATTATTTGTGTATACTGATTACTGTGTCTACTAATTATTTCATTGATTATAAAAATATATCTTCAGGTACACTGTATAAACATGTACCTTGAGGTTAGACTGTGCCAGACCACTGGGTGTATTATCCATAAGTCCATACTCAGTAGGCTTGAACAGCAGTGTAGATACCAGTCCTCTTGAGATAAACAAGCCCAGCAGTAACATGGTAATCACTTCATTGGTCACTTTAGTTAAAGCACCTTGGTCAGTGAACATCATGCTATCCTATAAATCAGCATTAAAGATAACAGGCCCAGAATAAGATGCAATTGTGTTGTTATTGAAAAATTGAACCTCACTTAACTCTTTAACCCAAGATATCCACCATTAAATAAAAAATTAGTCACCTGTACTGACAACTTATACTGGACAATGATTGCCTTTAACCCTTTACACCCTTACATAACATGCATAATCTCCAAACTGTTCTCTAGACATTGCCTAAGGTACTAGCAAGGAGAATTTTTTGAACAATCAAGAGTTTCTCTGGTTGGTGATCATTTCCTTTATTCTCATGACCTTACTGTGTGATTCAGGAGTGATATTGTATGGAGAAGTTACATGCTAGTCACTCTTAGGGGTCAGAGGGTTAACAAAGTGACCCAAGGATTATTACACCTGTCCAGTGATCAATTAAATGGACAAAAACTTTGACTGATCATTATCATTACAATTTCATCAAATGTGATTGGTGCATTGGCTGCTTTATTTTTTCACTAATTATAAGTGTAGTGTTGTAATCAGACAGTTGTAGTTGAAAACCTGTAATTGGACAGTTAAAGCAGCCAATCATATTAAGTCCACTCAGCCAAATCCACCAACCACAGAATTGATCATATATAGTAACCATAAAAACTGGGGAATTTCAAAAATGGAGGAATTTTTCACCGAAGACATCGTCTCCACAAGAAATATTTTCTGTAATTGTATTTTTTATGGAATTGTAATGGTTATGATTGATTGGTAACAGGACTTTGTGTCATCCAATTCATTCAATCCAATTTTCTTAAACACTTGTAAGATTACAGACCAAATTGGACTCCACTTGGTTTATTACCATTATTAATTTTGCTCATCACCTAAATAATACTAACCCCTCCCCTTGTAATTCTTATAAATTCATATGACTTAAACTTGCTATGTCTATACAAGACATTGGCACCCAGGCTGGGGGGAGGTAGGTTAGAAATACAAACTGAACAATAAAGGAAATATTTACACGTAGCCTTCAACCTCTGTCTCAATTGCCTTTGTGAATTAAACTTCACTAAAGGGTCCTCTTTCAAATACCTTTTCAACTTGCCACAGGTAGTTTGGTGGTAGAAAGACACCTTCCTGAGTCATAAGCCACAAGACACCCTCTCTTGAAGCACTTAAAATTCCAGTATCAGGTTTAATCTGAATAACATTATGAATAATGGTCTCAACCATGGACGAGAGTTCTTTAAAGGCACTTTGAGAATCCTTTGAAAGTCTCTGAAAAACACCTGGATTTTTTATGTAAAAATCAAAGGCTTCATCTGTAATAGCATCTTGAATGGTAGAGTACATCGACCAGTCATGGCTGAGGTAGTATTCTCTATGAAGTTCATCAATTGCTTGTTTTATAAGACTGTTGAGGTTTTCAATGGCACTCAGTTGCCTTTGATGAGCTTGTTTTAAGAGTGCTATAAGAATAAAACATGCCCAGGCGACATAACCAACATGACGTAATTTTCTGACCCTGCTAGATCCAGGGAATGGATATGGTTGTTCTTCATTCCAGTGAACTTGGTTACTAAGAAATCCTTCTGGTCTTAGAGATAACCGAGGTTTCATTGGTGTTTCTGGAAGTCTTTCTGTTGGTCTTACAGGAGTTGCAACACCTCTTGGTAGCTGAACACAAATGACAGTGACAAAATACAAAATTTGAGACTCAGAAGAAAACAAATACATGTGTCTGTTATAGACAGTAGCTTAACAGAATAGCAAATAATTACATTTCATACATACAGGCACAATAAAACATTTAAAAACTTACCACTGGTTTTGATGAAGGATTTCTTTCAGCTGGATTTCTTTGAGCAGGATTTCTTTGAGCAGGAACTTGCAGGTGGTTTGCTACTGGCTCAGGTGCAGCTAAAATCAAAATTTTAGCTCATTAGAAGCTTGCTTTAAGAGGAAAGACCTCAAGAAATAAAATGTGAAACAATGGAGAAATAATAACAACCAATGAGAGATTTTTTGGGCTAAAAAAAAATATCAGAAAAGGTGCAGAATTCAATGCTAGTATAAAAAACTTTGAATTTTATCCAACAAAATTATTTCTGCTGTTGAAATAATTAAATCAAAAAAGTACCTCTTTGATGATTCCTGTTTGTTGCATGAGTAGTAAATGGAGACATTTCCCGCTGACCAATTTGTTCAATCTCCACTGGTTTGACAACTGACAAGCTATATTGTAACATGGTGATTAAGGGAAAAGGAAGAGAGCCACTCATCAATACAACTTGTTATAAAACATTATTAACTGAATGTCATTGCCCAGACTTACTGCATTACTCAATAACTGTTTTTAAAGAAAAAAATATTTATTTAGTAGTTACTGAAAAAATAAAGAGAAAGTATAGCCAGCTTAGGAGCCTGGGAACCATTCCAGCCAAAATTTATCCCAGTTCTAGAGGGTTGAAGCCTTTGATAAGATTCCCTTCCATCTCAGGGTTTTCCCTAATATTCCAAGAGGTTTCCCTAAATGCTAGCCACTACCCAGTTACACTGGGTAGATAATGAAACTATGAAATTTTAGTGCCTTTCCAAATAATACAACCCAATGACCCCCCTCAATCTGCAGTCCAATACACTGATCAGTAGCCATTGTGTCTGATAAAATTGATGGAAATAACAGTTACTAGGGACTGAGAAATGGAATGAATATAAAAAATTAATTAATTTTATGTTTATGAAGTATCAGTGTGTTATAAAAGTTTTACATTAAAGCTACCTTTGCTGTTGTGTTCCTTCTGTATTGATTGATTTTCCAGGTTGTAAGACCATCTGTTGCAATAGTAACTGTTGAAGCTGTACATTCTGGGACATCATACTAGCCATCATATCTTGGAAAAATTTAAAAAACAGTGATCATGGTATTGTCCTTACCACATCTTGATACGGTTATAGAATATCAACAGGAAAAGCTCCCTCAAACTGATATGAGATACCTGAGTGGGTTTTTCTCAAAGCACTAACTAAAAATGTTTTCATGTAAAATCATATTCCAGGGTATCATCATCCCATACAGGGAATAAAACCATTCAAATGTGTTTTGAAATGTGAAGTTGAGAAAAGTAAGCGGCAGGAATCAAATTACGTGCATGCTCTAAGTCATGATGCCTATATGTGATTCACTTTGGCTTGTATGAATATAAGCAGCAGTTCTGATTACATGTTGCACTCTTGAGTCACTGGTTGGTGAAATACAAAGGTCATTAATAATTCTTATTCACCCCTATTAATGTCTGATAAATTTTAGTCACCTTTCATATAGTCATCATTTTGAGTTTGTATTGATGGCTTCTGCAGCTGCTTCTCTCTTTCTTCCTTTTACAAAAAAAAATCATGTTGTAGAGATACAATCAATAAAGGGTGATAGAAAAACACTTTTAAAGGAAAGTTAATAATAAAAAGTTACATGACATTTTGACAGCTTCTTTATAATAATCATCAAATTTACATGTTAAAGAAACAAACTTATTAAGTGATCCAATCTACAGTCCCCTCCAAACCGAGGCCATACCACATTGGACAGTCTCACAATGCCTTACAAGGATCAGAGAACTGGTCACATGGTTCCCACTTAAACTTCATGATCATGAATCATGGGTGGCATCCCACCTTATAAGGCAAAAAGATCACTGATGTGATTGGATAAATATAATGGTAGCTTCCCTCAGTTAAGCAACAGAATCTTGTGCAAATTTAAATGTGGTTTGTATGGTGCAAACCATATTCATTTTGGTAAAAAACACTGTTGCCTCTGTCAACACATACAGGAACATAAACCCTCACTAATCACAAAACATATATGATGATGTACATAATCTGAGACCTGTGAAAGAGGTTACTAGCCATCCTAAAAAATGCACTACCAAACTAGGTAGAGAAAGGCACTTTGAGGATACACTGTCTCACCCCAAAAACACAACAAAATGGCCCAACTAAGGTAAGAACCCACACAGCTTTATCAAACATTGAGCATGTTGAACTCTCAACACTACATTTATTACAGTGAGAGATGCAAAGAATAGGTATACTGTACCTTTACTCTTTGAAGAAGTTGTTTACTCTTCAGAGTTTCAGCTTGCAGTTGCTGATGGAAACCTACACGACCATAAAAATAACAAAAAGTTTCTGTGGCAAAATCATGTGGTAAACATAATCTGATAATACAAGGAAAAGGAAGTAAATGCAGGTACTTCTAATTAGTATAATTATGCATTAGGCTTAGTTGGTTGAGAGTATTCAATTATTAAACAAAGTTTACATGATAACTTCAATATCTATGTATGTAGCAGAGATTGCATTTCTCATGACCACTTTTAGGTCTGCCTAGTTTTCAAGCCCCTCGTCTATGTAGTGTTCTCAAACTTTTCAAACTCAGAGAGATTGCAGATTACTTAAAAAAAAAATTATGAAAATACAGTTATTGAATTCGCTTTTGCATGATATCATGAATTATCAAACCCTGTGTTCACGTTATCTTCTGCCTCAGTCTTGGACTTCGGCAAATAACTCGGACCTCAGTTTTGATAATTAATGATATTTTGCTCAACCTCATCCAATAATTGCTTCATATCAAAAAATGACCATTTCATGAAAACGTTTACAAAAGCAATAGGCGCTCACACTCGTGCTCTCTTGCCGAACAAGGTAAGCCGACAACTTTAATAAACGAAAGCTGAAAAATGGCTCTTTACCCTTGAAACCAATACCGTTACACTTGTGATATCTATTAGCTTTAGCTATCCTCACCAGCTGTGGAACTTGTCATTGCAGGTTGATCATAGAAATCTATGCGCTGTCCTTCTACGTTTCCACTTGACTGGCTTCTCATTTTCTGAAAATTGACCGCAGAGGACAGAAAACCACGAATTAAATCAAAGCTTGCACATTTAATGTCACAGAATTTAACTCACTTGTTGGAGCATTTTCAATCGAAGCTTTGTAAGTTCATCCTGAATCCTTCCGTCCGCCATCTTGGTTATCTCTCTCGGACACATTATACACCAGACATATCCAAAAGTATGGCCTTTCTTATCCGCTGACCACTAACAACTTCACGTGGCAAAGAGCAATTCTCCGAGCATCATAAGATTACAAATAATCGAGGATAGTTCTTGCGATCATATGATCAAATATGAGAGGTATTCAAATATTACAGCGGAGTGGGAGACAAGTCTGTCAAATTCTTACAGTTCAAAGATGTCATTATCATGACATGTCAAGGGCTTGTGTGATTGGAACTGGTGCTGAAAACTTTCCTGAGTTTGAGGTAAGTTCCCCTTCTTACAGAGACCGTACTTATTGACCAAAATATTAAAAAGCCGCCTACCTCATTTACACAATACCTTTTCCTCAGTTTGTGAACACCTAAGGTAAAGAGCCTCGAGTAACAAATGTGTTGCTGATAAATTATTCGGAACAGTTTTTCATAATAAAACACATATGATAGAGATGTTACAAAAGAAGAACACGTCCGGCCGCAATTTGAACCAAATAGTAAAGTTGTTTATCCTCGATTAAGCTTCTCCCCTCAATAATTGACCCTGTTCTAACCGTGAAGGTTCAAACATTAGCATAGACATTATATATTCAGCAGAATCTACGGTATATGTCCTTTAATGACGTCACTGGGTGGGTGTGAGAGGGGGTGTAGCCCGTGGACGCTCTCCACTGAACGGACTCCATCTTATACTAGACTTTCCCTTTCATTTTGCTAGTTTTTTATTATTATTATTATTATCTTCAGGCTCAACTGTTGCAATTGCCAGAGTTTTATGAAATGTCTGGGATGATCTTTACCTCTCTTCTATCATGTAATAACTTTTCTTTTACATACAACTCTCACTTATATACGAGAAGATTAAATAAAGTACCCTTAAATCATATTTTTGCATAGACCAAGCAAAATATCATGTTTTTGTAAAAGGCAATGTACTTTTTGGTCATGCTTAATAGGACAACAAGGCAAAGATGGCCTCTGCTGTTCAAGACCTGGAAAGCACTATTGCTAGAATAAAACAAGGTATCAATCTTTAACATTTAGACATCAGTAAGGGCCAACTTAACTTTGATGCACAGGTCTTAAGTCTCTTTATAAAAAAAAAATGTGAGTCTCTTAGGTACAGGATCATCTCTCATATTTGACTTAGTTTCAGAAATTAAACCACTTGTTTATGTTGTTCATTAGCACACTAAATTTAATTTCAGTAAGAAGCACTAAATTGTTTACAAGTGTGAGTGTTAATGAAATACAGTATACAGTTGCTTAATTGTCAACATGACAGTACCTACCATCTGCTTTGGAGGCTTGAGACATTTATTCTCACTGCTGACATTTTTGTAAAAGACTCAATCATGTCTGATGACATACTTGTATTTCCAAGGGAATGTTCTGTGTAAAAGTTTCTGTAGGCAGTTGACTGAGTTGACACAAACTCGTCACCAGTGCTCCCTCTTTTTATTTAATGTATTGGCCAAAGCATTGTTTGCAATCATTTGCATGGACTGTTGTCATCTCTCAGTTGTAATCTCTCAGCTAGTTGTAATCTCTCAGTTAGGGCATTGTTTGCTGATACTTTTCCCAAGTTGTAAGAAATTGTGTGGCAAAGGTGTCAAACAGGGTGAGGCAGAAGGTTTTGATCTCCAGGCAAGAGATTGTGTTTAAGAAATTAGAGTTGGCATAAATATATATCTTAAGTATTTTAATAGGGAAAAGTGGCCACCAACTCTTATGAGCTTATTTTTTCAAAGGTGGAGATGAAAAAGCAAGGAAGAGACACACATCTAAAGGAAAATTGTTACCAAGAGACAGGATATCCTGCTTGCTGGACCCTGGGTATATTTTTGTTTGTTTTGTTTCTTCTTTCACAGTGGTAAACAATAACCACTTATAACAACATAAATGTACAGATAGCTAGGACTGATGCATGTTAAGAATGATATGATTTAGTATTGAGATCAAATTTAGAATTTAATGTTTATTTACTAATTTAAGATTTAATTTAGTCTTTTTATTCTTGGGGTTGAGAAGGCAGAAGTAGGATTGGTGTTTTTTTTTTAACAGGGATGAACATGGTAATTCTTGCATGCAAGTATACTTGTTGTTGTAGACTAAACAGAAATGGCTGAAAGTCAATGAAAGAATACTTTAACAGTGCATTTCCACTGGATTTATAGTTCACCATTTCTGGAATTGTCTCAGTTGGCTGGACACAAGTTGTACGGTAATGAAGAGGTGCCTGCTGGGGGAATTATCACTGGCATCGGTAGAGTGTCAGGGTGAGTTAGAAATTATCCACACCAGTAGTTAGTAACAGTTTTTCATGTCACACCATTTTTCTACTAAGGTTAGTTCCAAAGAGAAATACTTTTCTTGAACATGAAGGCGCCTGCTCAAGATATCAAAATTTTAGTCACCTTCATCAAAAACTGTTTTTGATGATTATCCTCAACTACACAACCACAATACACGGTAGATTTGTCTTCCAGATGACAATTCTTAGTGTGAAGGCTTTTTCAACAGTTATAAAGAATTTGATTCTTAAGGTTATATCTATATCAATATGTCGGAATGGAGTTTTAAGCTCCTGGTCTTTTTTTATATAATTAAGTTTCTAATGATGTGTTATGACTTTATTTTCTATAAATTCAAGACTGGCATAGATATGTTTATGGTAAAAATGTTGTCTAACATTTAAAATTCAGACTGCAATGACTGAAAAGGAACAGCTGGATACTGTTTCTGCTCGGTCATTCATCATCCTTTATTTACTTTTCTGTCTCAAATATATTTTGTTCATCATGATATGAGATAAGACATACTGTTTTCTGTGTCTCTATGTTGTAATACCTACAATATCTCATTTGTTATTTTTCAGAGTAGAATGTATGATTGTTGCAAATGATGCAACAGTTAAAGGTGGAACATATTACCCAATAACAGTTAAAAAGCATGTCAGGGCTCAGGAAATTGCTCGGGAAAACAGGTTACCTTGTCTTTACCTTGGTGAGTTGATTAGAAACCATCAAATACTTGTCATCAGTTTTTTTTCTTTGTGTCATCTGTTAACCTTGATTCAACCCTTTACTAACTTTGCTTTCCATGGACAATTTAGCTTTGAGCCAGGACGGAAATCCTTTACATTTTTGTTGTGAAATACTCAGATCTGATTGTGTCACTGGCATTTTCTTCCCCACATCTGTTGGGATGTACTGTATATATAGTTGAAGAACTGTTATTAGCAGTGTGTATGTTTGTGTCTTGTATAGGCATGATTGGCTATCAGTGTTTGATCCTTTTAGTTTGTGAAAACTTGTTTTTAAATAAAAGTCCTTCCATCTGTTGACTTTTCAGTTGACTCAGGTGGAGCTAATCTTCCAAGGCAAGCTGAAGTGTTTCCTGATAAACTCCATTTTGGTCGCATATTTTACAATCAGGCAACTATGTCATCCAAAGGAATTACTCAGGTACACATTATTCCTACTTTTATTGTTTTAAGATGATGAAATAAATTTTAGCACAGATAGACAGAGTCAGTTAGATTCTATACTTGATTTAAAAGATCTAAAGACATGTGCATATCTGCTCTTGAAAGTGGAATTTTGGATTTGGAGTCAATTCTATTTCACTTAATTTACCTTTCAGGATTATTGCATGCACTGAACTGCTTTTATTTGCCAACTTTACTTAAAAATGAGAAACAGCACTTAAACACCTAATTATGCTTTAGCTCACACAGTCATCATGTCTTGTAATGACAGCATTGTTTGATCCTCAGATAGCAGTAGTCCTTGGCTCTTGTACAGCTGGTGGTGCGTATGTGCCTGCTATGGCTGATGAGAGCATCATTGTCAAACATCAGGGGACTATCTTTCTTGGAGGGCCACCCCTAGTGAGTATGAAAGTTACCAACTATAGCTAAGTTTAAATAGTTAAGAATATACGAAAGTCATACATTTGAACTGCGGATAAAGACGTGAATGAAAGTGATCCTCGCAATAATGTGCACTACTTAGGCAGTAGTGAAAATAAGGCCTGAAATAAATAAATTTATTTTTTTTTATTTAGAACCAACTTCATGACCAGCTCCCAGTTGGCTTGTTAGCTCAGTTGGTAGAGCGCTGCACCGGTATCGCAGAGGTCATGGGTTCAAATCCCGTACAGGCCTGAATTTTTTTTTTCAGGCCTTATTTTCACTACTGCCTAAGTAGTGCACATTACTGCGAGGATCACTTTCATTCACTTCATATAGCTAAGTTTATTATGCTGAACTTGATATGCTGACCTAATAAAGTTTACTTCGGGTTGATATGCAATCACATCACAGAGGAAATCATATTTAAAAGGTTTTAAGGTTTGTGTTATTGACAATTCCATTTATTGAGCCATTGGAATAATAATCACTGACAGGAATAGCTAGTACTTAAGAGCAAATCAATAACAAGGTGACTTGCAACAATTCAGCCTCTTGATCATTGCCTTAAAGAGGACTAGCGGTATTCTGTCAAAATATTACATTGTGACAACATTACACATGGCAAGTTATGACACATCAAAATTACTGCTGTTTAAAGTACAATGAATAACTACAGTCTTTTTTAGCAGTTATTAAGCCGTGGTTCATATGATAAATGGGTTCAGGTTATTGACAGAAAAAGAAATAAAATTTTTGGAAGGGGAAAAGCTCACTTGAGTTAAGCAGAATTTAAAGTTATAAAGAGGTGTGGTTTTTGAAGGTAAAAATTGTGAAAAAATGTAGTGACCAATTTCAGAAGTCAACAGCAATCATTTCAAGCTGCCAAGGGTGTGAGACAGGGGATGTAACAAGCAATTAACCAAGCTTGATTTTATTAAATAATCACCATTATGTTACTGTTATTCACCTGTTCGCCAGGTTAAAGCTGCAACAGGGGAGGAGGTGTCTGCTGAAGAGCTGGGGGTGCTGACTTACACTGCAAGTATGTACCAGTTCTAGGTTTCCTTGATATTCCTACAATATGACTTTTATGTGTAGAAACAGGTTAATTAAATCAAGAGAGAAAATTTCAAAGTAGCCTGTAAGACTTTAGTTGTAAGCCACACATCTATGACCAAAATTACCACACATATGTACTTATGGTTGTTGTTAGTAGTCATGGTAACTTAATTACCAAAATCAACTTCATGTTTTCTAAGTACCACTGAACTGAGAGATAACTTACATAAATGATGAGGGTCTGAGAACAGAGCTCATACATGGGAAAGACTACTGTTAACTATTGGAATTATTTGTAGATTATCTCTAAATCATTTAAAAGCAGCTCCGAGCAGTTCCAACTACTAACTTGAGTCTTCTGAACTCTGAAGTCATGATCAGCTACAGTGATCTCAGAATATTAGAACACTAGACAGTGAATTGAGTGGATTATGTGGGAGCCTGTGTGCTTTTTGTTTGTGTTTGTTGTTGTTGTTGTTGTTGTTCTAATGAGCTAAACAACTCCTAAATAACTGAATGCCTTAATATAAAATGATTACTGACGATTTGGTTTGTTGGGTATAGATTTGGGTTAAACTTAACATTCCTTCTGGGTGTCTTGATAGGATCCTTTTCGGTAAAGTAGCATTTCAAGCTCCAGTCTGGTAAAACCAATGGGCTTAACTTTGACCTTTTTAACTAAAAATATTGAAAACATGATGATTGACTCTGCAGAACATCTGGTGTGACAGATTATTATGCTGTTGATGATTTTCATGCCCTTCAACAAGCTCGACAGTGCATTAAGAATCTTAACTACCAGAAAACTTTACCAGTACATGTAAGTTACTTTACTGATTACATGACTTGTTTGCTGCCGTGCATGATCCATAAGGGAAAAGTAAATGAATATCTTGGCAAGACGGCTGCAGTCAGCTTGTATATCAATTTCCACTTGACAAGATGGCTGCAATCAGCTTGTCAATCGATTTCCACTCACAAAGGCTGTTAAAAAAACAAACATTTCACAATGATAGTAAAAATGATGATGATGATGAAGATGAAGTTGCTGTTTTATGAATGTTTCAAATTTCTGTAACTGTAAGGTACCAAGGGAACTTCCTAAGGAGCCTCTTTATCCAGCTGATGATCTTTATGGCATCGTAGGTGACAACTTGAAGAAACCTTTTGATGTAAAAGAAGTAAGAAAATAAAAGTTAAAAATGAGATATCTAGTCAATGGCAAATAAATGGTTGACATGGTTTTTTTGGACTTTTATTTGAGTCATTTTATTTCAAGGCTGAGCAATAGATCTCTAGCTAAACAGACAGACATTCATGATAAATAATTTCCTGTAAAGTCCTCCAGATGACAGAAATGTAGTAACATTAATAATTACAAGTACCCAACAATATTACATTGAACTTTCTTCATCAGTTACTACTTCTCATAAGCAACCAGCAGCTGTTTCAGATCTTGTGCATGCTGTTAAGTCATAACTGATTGACATTCAAACCCTCATGGGCAACTTGGAGCTTTTCTTAGTCGTGATGTTAAACATCTTTCTATAAGCAAAACAAGTGCAGAAGAATAAAACTAACTTATGGAGAGTCACAAGAGTAATGACTTACAATCTTCATGTGATGCATGTGAACCCCAAAAATATCACTTCTCATAACCAACCATTCCTGTAAAATTTAGATATTTCTTTTCCTGGTGGTCTCCAATCAACTGAGATTCTTGCCCACTAGGTTATTGCAAGGATTGTTGATGGAAGTCAATTTGATGAATTTAAAGCCATGTATGGAGACACTTTGGTGACAGGTGCGAGATACACATGACTACATGATGTTCGACTGTTTACATGATTTATTATCGTTATCATTAATATTATTGTTGTTTTATTTGGAGAGAAGCTGAAATTGAGAACAAGGTGCTCGTGATATTTTCAATTTGAACTCACAGTTTAGTATTAATACCAAGTATTAATAAACAGGACGTTCATGGACAGGTATGAAATATTCTGTTAAGATAACTTGAAGTTAATTTTCGTATGGTCTTCTTATGTTTTTTTTTTGTTGCAAAGGTTTTGCTCGAATTCATGGCTATCCTGTAGGAATCATTGGAAACAATGGAGTTTTGTTTTCTGAATCAGCCCTTAAGGGAGCACACTTCATACAGCTGTGTTGTCAGCGGAAAATTCCTCTGCTTTTTTTGCAAAATATAACAGGTAAATATGTTAGGGTTAAGACACTGTTCATTCAGAATTTAGTGGCAGCTATAGTTACATTTATAAAATAACGCAACCGTTATAATATACCACACAGAAACCATGAAAAAATTGTTTTTGTCAAGTTACCAAAATATGTCAGGAAATTAAACTCTTGAGGCAATATTTGGCCCCTTTGACTGCTTGGAGATGAATAGTACTTGGTAATCACTTCTGAAACAGCCAATCAGCGCGTGCGAAAAGCACCATTCACCCTTAAAGTGGTATATGCGTCATTAAGTACTGACATGTCATAGGGCACCGAGCTCAGTATATTCTTTATTTACGTTGAAGGAAAAATTTGTTTGCCTTTTAGGTTTTATGGTTGGTAAGGATTACGAGGCTGGTGGTATTGCCAAAAATGGAGCAAAAATGGTAACTGCTGTGTCGTGTGCACAGGTTCCAAAGATAACTGTTATTATAGGTGGCAGTTTTGGGGCTGGAAATTATGGAATGTGTGGACGAGCTTACAGGTAAGGCTAAAGAAATGCCACCTCTTACAGAAAAGTTTAATAAGGACGCTGGGTGCAGCATCCTGGGTTTCAACAGCTAAAAAATATCGGCATGCAAAAATCTACAAACATTTGTCAAATATTAAAGAAAGATGATTTTTGCTTTGTCACGGGCGTGGGAAAAAAAAATCCGAGGCCCCATGAGGAATCGAACCCAAGTCCTTCGGCTCCCGCCCTTGACGTTCTACCGCTGAGCTACAAATAGCTTTATGGCCAGCTAGGTTACAACAATATTGATGTTTATGGCCAGCTAGGTTACAACAATATAGATGTTTAGTTTATTTTTCGCGATTATCAGATAACTATTTCTCACAGAAATTAAAGCCACTCAGAAACTTTAATAAGTTGTTTTCGTTGTGACGCTGATTAAAAAACTGTGACAATGATAGTGATATTTTGCAAATACGTTTCGTGAAAGGATCGCAAACACATCAAACAACCCTATTTGAGAAGCAAAATTTTAAACAAGTTCAACAAACATATTAAACAAACTTGTTGAACAAATTGTTCTAGTTGAGTACTTGTGGATCAAGAGAGTGGACCGGTATGTCAATGCCATAACCTATTCCTGAAATGTCTTCTAACCATGAGTCCAATTAATTTTTTTAGTCCCCGTTTTCTGTACATGTGGCCAAATGCTCGTATTTCAGTGATGGGAGGAGAACAGGCAGGAACAGTACTGGCTACTATCACTAGAGACCAGAGGGCAAGGGAAGGAAAACAGGTTGGTCTATTGTCAGCTTCAAGCAATTTAAGCTCAACACTACCGTTAAAAGCGCCATGAATTTCGAGTACTTTTTGTGGGTCCAGTTGTTTTGTCGGCTCTATTTTTCCTTTTATGAGTAAACACCATCAAAAGTGTTGCAACTTGTGTTTTGAAAAACTTTGTCAGTTCAGTTCTGTTGTATATCGCGATTACCGCACTCTGTGCGATTAAAATACTTTGTGCAAAGAACTCTTTTAGTGACATGCCGCGAACTTGGAATCTGCATAATTTTAGTTGAAATAGTTTGGGGTATGTGTTTTGTGTTTATTCGTTTCTGTAGCTTATTTATTCATTTTTGTTTATCACTCTTGTACTTGTATATTTAGGAATCAGGTTATCACAACCTTGAGTCTTCGATGGTAAAACGTTGCCACTACTTCACAACAAGTTCGAATCGGCCAGTTATCTTGTTATAGAAGTCATGAATTTACTCATGGTTTTATTTTAAAAAATTCGTCGCCATTACCTGAGAGTGGCCATGTAAACAAATTTGCTGTCTAATCAAAACGGATGATAGCACTTTTTTGAACAAATGACTGCGCAAGTGAATACTGCAAACGCTAATCTGTTCAACTACTTATTATCCTAAAGTTCAAATGTCTTGAGTGAAAGTAATGTTGAAACCATAAGGAAATCGGCGCAAAACAGCTCAATGGAGTCTTAGTTTAATCCACCCGGCAACACGGACAATTCAAATGGTCTTTTCAGTCCTTCATCGGTGCAATCAATCCCTTAAAAAGGGAAACAGAAAAAAAGAAAACTTAGAGTGCTCCCAAAAGGAGTCGAAACTTTGATCTTCCAATATTTACTTCGGATGGTGTGCGCTCAGCTTTAAGGCTGGGTAAGGCTTTAAACCAGCAGATTCTTGCGACATACATTTAAGGAACGGATTGAATTTGATGGTGAATGCGGATGGAAATAAAAGCCTGCAGATGTAACAATATTCGAATGGCTAAAGCTCAAAACCTCAGCCTTGAAATGCTTCATGGTGGCTAATTAAAAATATCAACTCAGTTGATAAAACCAAATTACCCTGTTAAACTCCCTCACCGACGCAGCACCACAGTTTCTCTAGAAAGTTACCCCCTTTATTCAGATCGATGTAACAGTAACCTAATATAATTGACCAAGCTGAGGCTCAGCAGCAGGCTTAACATTTAAAGAGATTATCGGAAGATCGTAGCCTTATGTCCTATGTAAAGCACAGTAATTTTTTTCCAGGCTTGCCTGTGTCGCTAACTGAAAAACATCATTTTTTCCTTAATCATGCAGCTTGCTTAAAACACACCACTTTCATTTACATCACAAGGCAAGATACAGCTTGGGGCGTCATTTTGTACGAACGAGGTTACTAGATTCTAATGATACTGTTGTGTCGCTCCGGCTGAGAGTTCTTTATCCACTGTAAGTTGGTGGAGAAAAGTGAACACTGTTCCGCTCCGTCGTCGGGTTGCGCTAGAAAGGCCAGTTTTTCAAAATTTGCTGCGGTGGTTCAGTTACCTTAATCAAATTTTTATTGATTATCAATCAATTGTATAATTTTATTCGAGTTGTAAATTGATACGAATAGCTGGGACACCCAACGATCCTTTGACCAACAGATCTCGTGGTTTATTTCTATTGCTGACAAAACTTGATTTTTCTTTTACCAAATAGTTGACAGCAGAAGAAGAAAAACAGATAAAAGCTCCAATAATCTCGAGGTTTGAAGAAGAAGGCCATCCTTACTTCTCGTCCGCCAGGTATTTGTGCAGTCTAAGACGTTTTCAACTCAAACTAACCAGTGTTGTTGTAATTTAGGAAGGCTTATGATATGCATACTTCATGCTTTTCGTCGTTCCGTAGTTGCGTGGGAGATTGGGTCAGGTTACGTGTCGCAAAGCATTATGTGACTGTTTGAGAGGCTGCCATTTTCTTGAATTTCTTGTAGCTTTGTGCCCATTTAAAAACAAGGGTATGCTTATAAAAGTTAAAATTATGTTATTAAATGACAAAATTTTTCATCGGTGATTGTCATGGTTGAAGAATTTCATAGAACAACGTCTTAGTTATGACCCTTAAAAATGTTTCCACGATGAAATGGCTGACAGAAAGATGAATTCAATTTTGTGCATTCAGAAATTATACTTTGGTTCTGAAATCGCAATCTCACACTTGTTATGTGAGGGGGAGGGGGAAGTGGGGGGGGGAGTAGGGAGCTTGAAATTCGGTCCATAAATTTTTCATTTAATTTACCTTGTTGCTGTTGTAGATTATGGGATGACGGTGTTATTGATCCAGTGGACACGCGGACAGTCCTGGGACTCAGTTTAAGTGCGGCCTTGAATGCACCAATCGGTGACCCCAAATTTGGCGTGTTCAGAATGTGATTAGAAATGCTTCTTATAACCAGGCTGACTCTTCACAGGATTTACCAACAGTGTCTCCACACTGTTAATCCTCTTCTTTGTCGGACTGGCATAAGAGTTTCTCCAAATATTGGATCATTGATCGCTGGATTATCTTCATTACGGACAAAACATCCAGGAGCTTTTCAATGTCATCGATCATGCCGAGTGCCCATGCATACACAATATAGAGGAAACTTCTAAAGGACTCTACACGAAAAAAAAAATTGGAAAAAATATAGGGTATGGCCATTAGAACTGCCATAATCAGCCCAAACATCGACTGGACAATATGTTTAGTTAAACGATGTTGCACTCGAATTTTTTATGACGCACAAACAAACAAAGCAAACTTAGGGAAAAAAAACCTCAAATAACTTCGTATATACTGTTGACCTTCTAAGTTAAGTAATAAAAGTTATAAATATTGTATCAGGAATGTGGAATTTTAAGTTAAAAAAGCACGGAAGAACTCACTTTTAGAATATTTGCAGACGACATGAGTGCTTTACTCCAGCACACGACCTCCAGAGCCTTTCTCGGCTGATTTCTACAAGTCTGAATTCTTCCTTTGTTTTAGGAAAGAAATTCACTTCCCTTTCGTTTCATAGCTAATAGTTTTTCACTTGATAAATGAACAGCGGCCTTCGTTTATGGTATCCTACGTGTAGCCGTACCCATCCCCCTCAAGGAGAAACGTTTCTCCTTGGGGGGGAGGAGTGTACGGATACACGTAAGCTACAATGCTGGGATACATTTGGGGAACCAAATGTTCGTTGAGTAAATTTACCCAGACAGCTTTAAATCGATAAAGTTCCGTAGCATTTATGAAGTGGATTTCTTTGCATGTGTCTCTAAAAGATCTCCTTTGAAGAAGAGCCGGTAAACCGGTAGAAAGTGTAAGCCAATGCTTAATAAATCATACATTTGACGTTATATGTATAGTGTGACCCAGATGAACAAGTGGTGTTTTAAAGATCTTGACTGCATTTTTCAGGATGATTTGATACAAGTTTGCTTCAGTTCTCTGGGAATGAGCCTCTTAGAACTCAGAAAGAGGAGTCTGGGGCGGGCAGCCTGCACCTCGTGTGTCCCTCAGTTTTGTGTTAATCAGGTAATCTCTCTCGCGTATCTGAGCCTTTCTGCCTCAATGACTTTTTACCCGTGGGATTCACTGTTTATACCGAGGTGCCAGATGGCAGATATCTGTTGCTCCACATGCTCGCACAGAAGAGCTCATGTTACTGGACTACAGAATTGTTTGGTGTGTCTGCTTAATATATTTACCCGAGTAAGTAGGGCAATTAAGAATGACAAAATAAAGATAAAGCGAAAGAAGGAAAGCAGCGCAAAATATATTTAGAAGCGATTTCAAAGATTTTATTGTTTGAACGATGGATAAGTTATGTCTTCCTTAATTAAGAAGGTGCTAATCATTGGGCAACCCCAGATCAGTCGAACACGAATTTCGTTTAAATGCAAGGTAATTTCAATTCAGAATTTTAGAAATGTTTATGGTTCTTTTGTCTATTTTAGGGATCATTTCAGAGGCTATGCAGCATTTTAAATCTTGGAACGGTTCCTGTAATAGGTTTGGTTACTATGGTAATGATATCAAAGGAGATTTGTGGGTTATTGTTGTTTCCTTACTTAAATAACTTATGTGAAAATCAATTATCTCGTGTAAAAAGAGCTAAGAGTATTATTAACTTGGAATGCAAAAGGTTAATCACGATCATTCTGTCGTCTGTGAAAGTTGATACAAAGATATTTATCCGAAGAATTCTTTGCGATATGACCGTATGGCTTCCAAATACAGTTCACAAAGTGGAGAGAGAAACGAAAAGTCCAGGGGTTTACTTCCATGCATAGGCGAAAACGAAGTTTTAAACCAATCAACATCATATGGAAGACGTTTGATACCAAAAAGTCCATCGAAACGAAGGATCCGCGTCAACTCAGAGCCATACATCATCGACAATTCTGAGGTGAAGGACTCTGTTGCCGCCGTGAGAAGCGGCGAAGATGCTGCAGACGATGTCACCAAATCTGGGAAACTTTCAAGTAATCAGAAAAAGTTAACAAGACGAGTGTCAGTACCGCTTGGTACTTCAACACATAAGGACAGTTCGCAGAGCAATGCAAAGACGACAAGATCTAAAACTGAGAAAGTGAGGGTCAAACCAAAGGCGCCTTCACCAGACGTCATTGATCTTAGTAACGAAGATGTTGTACATGAGTTAATGAAGAGATTGTACGAATCACTTGGTGTCCCGGACAAAACTCATTTCCAACAACTCACCATAGATCAAAATGATTCTAAAGTGGAGGGATCATGCAAACAAACAAGAAATACAAACGAATGTACAAAGACGGATGAGTCCACCACGAGGCTACCTCACGTCAGCAAAATTACATCAAACTTAGAAGTGTTCTACTCAAAGCCTGCCAGCTGGAAAACCTTGATGAACAGTCGACATTTGTGTCTAAAAACACGAACTAAACGTTATTTAGCTTCTAAACCCACAGCAAATAAACCAGTCAAAGAAAAACTGATGCTAAAAACCAATGAACATCACTTGACTTGGCCTTGGAAGCGGAGTTTTGATCTCTCTGGTCAGTCAACATCGGTAATGCGCGAGAGAGGCCTCAGTGAACCGTTTGTTGCTTTTACTCCTCACTCAAATTCAAGGGACTTGTTCAGGAGACCATATGACTCACGCAAGTCTGTCACATTCGCTGAGTAGCGATCTAATCGAGAGTCATTATTTGGAAATTCATTGTTTCTTCACGAGATTGCCAGACGTGCAGGTAAAAGGAAAAATATGTGAACACTGCATGGTATTAAGTATAATCTATTATGTTATTTTTGTCTGTGATTATTTGGTTGAGTGAGCGCTGTATCATTCTGGAACAACGAGTTGGATTTTAATTTCAAGTTTTGTATTTGGTGTTATTTTTAAATAGAGTGAGCCCCAGGCAAAATTCATGAGTAAGCTTTTTTAGAACGCTAGTGATACAAATATTCAATATTTAAAACTAGTGTTGAAGTCTTTTTCAATGATGAAAAATAAAAATATAAAGAGATCACTTCATGGTATAATTTGCTTTCCTTGTGATTCCATGTTGGGAGAAGAGTTCTCCCACATACGAAGCTGTAAATGGAATATAATATATAACATATAGTAGTATGTTTTATGTACTTAAACAATGAATAGCGTGGAAGGTGCACTATGATTGGCTACTCAAACCCCGAATATCCCGAGCTATTCAACTCAGAGCAACTCGCGCGGGATTTACGCCCGAAAATGTTGTAATCGTTGCAGGAACAAATGAGTTAAAATCATCTCACTGTGTTACATTATCTCACCTTTTAAATATATACTGAAAAACTATTCGCCTCATTTTCAGTGGCTAAAGGTAGATATTTACCTCGCTACTGTCAGACCTTTCCCAATTTTTCTCGGTAACTTTTGAAAAACTTTTGATGTTTGGTTCTCGACCTCGAGCAATTTCTGCCTGTTTTGAGTGTAATATAGGAAGAACGAAAAGTCAACGATTTCATAGAAAACTTCGATTTATGAAAATTTGTTGAACGATTATCAACCTTTTTTAACACAAATGAATTAACCAACTGTTTTGTTCTGCTAGAGTTAAGAGTATCCTTAAGTTTTGCCCATATTGCGTGCAACTCTTTCAAGCTCAGTTTTAAGCTTCTTTCCATGACCGATGTTGGCAATCACCACGAAGATCAAATAATCAAGCTTTTAATTAACGTATAAAGGTACCAAAAAATTTAGTCAGCAAGTTTTTGATTTTGGGAAATTTTGGTGAGTCTTGGCAACTTTTCAGTATTTTGCGAGCAAAATCGCGACAGGCCTAGCCGCTGCATGTCTCGGTACTTGAAATATCCGCCACCAGCCACCTCCAACGGTGAGTAGTTGTTTAAAATTATCCCAAGCATTTTCTAACTTAGAGAACCCTGAGACGGTTTTCATAACAACCAACCTAAGTTCAGAGTATGAACTGCCCACACATATCGGTTAGCCACATCTCTAGAGCTTTGGTACTTTTACTATATTCTTACCGAGTTGTTGTGGGCGTCATAAGGAATAACGCTGTTCCTTATTATTCAAATATAAAATTGCTGCCATTAATCTGATGGTTACTATGACCTCGTTAAAACTTCGTAAGATAAGCCCACTTAAAGTTGTGCCAGGGTTGTGTCCTCTATAGTTCTGTTCAAAATTTTGGAAAATAGGAGGAGGCATTGGCATCAGTCGAAAGTTAACAGTGCTTTCTCGTGATATTCTTTAGCCTTCTGATATTCACCATGTGACTTAAACAACAATGTGTAATGTCAGCTAATTTTTTCAGTTGGATACGAGTGATTAGCGTTTGCGGCTAAACTCATGAAACAATTAATTCTGAACAAAGTGAGCTGGAGTAATAAAAAATGGTAAAATTTCCGCATAGCCCCATACTACATTATGCATTCAGTTCTTGGATGGAGGAAACAATGAAAAAACAATACATTGCCATTGGGAAAACAGATTTGTTTTACAATAGTATGGGGCTGTGCGGAAATTTTACCGAAAAATTCACCAGATGGCATAACAATATACAAAACAGTTTAAAATTAGTTCATATCAATACTGATTCTTTCTGATGTTTTATCTGTGCGCGCCTAATTCATATTAAATGTGTTTCAGTGAAACCTATAGTCGATGTCTAGAAGGATTCGTTAATATCATTTCATAGACTGTGAAAAATTTTTTCCTGTCTTTTTTACACGCGTCGTAAAACTTGCTCCGTCGCTGATGGATGCAAATAATATAGTGTTATTACAAAGTAAGGACTTGATCCGTAGAAAAAAAGAAACGTTGAAAAGCTAAGACTACAATATCACCACTTTGTTCTTTTCTCATAACAAACATAATAAAGGACTGGAGCTCGTGCATTTTAAATCAGACTGTTCTGCTTTTAAAAATTTGATTTTCCCCGTCTCTGTTTTAACTGTCAGAGGTGATTCACAAGTAACTTCTCCTTTTATGATATTAAAATATCAAAACATAACATTTGAAAAGGCGATGAGATCAATAACAAAAAATGACCATCTTAAGGATGTCATCTTGATCCAACATTAAATTCTTTAAGAGAACCACAAATCAGATCTTGGAGGTGAGAGTTTGAGGCGGTGCAAACCAATTAATTTTGCCTACAGAAAGTAAAGAAAATTCTTCCTGAATTTCTGAGATTATTTGGATCCCAACCAAGTTTAATGTGTTGGCTGTGTGACTACAGAAACCAAAAGTAAGAATCTGAAATAACACCAGTAAAGTAAGGAGGAATGCAAAAAGCTAGAATCACTCGGATGAAGAACAAAACATTAACTTGACTGGTAAAATAATCATAAAAGATCCAAGTCCATATAGACTATGTCGACTATTGCAGCCAAAAAAATTTTCACCGGTTCAAAGATTGCTCTCACTAATAAATCCGTCGTTGCCAAATGTAATCAAGTTTATTTCAGAAATATGTCAGAACTTAGAAAGAGAGGACAATATCGATGAATTAGTTTATTTAGCTGCTAACCTTATGAAAACGTGACACTTAAGGCTCGCCGAGTTTAGTATTCCGGCCGTTTGACGAATGAAACCAGAATTAAAAAAACTCCCTGAAAAACAAAGATGGATGCAAACAGCTGGTGTTATTACAAAGGATTAACTTCTGATCGGCTCAAAAACATGGATGAAATCATGTTAAAGTGGACGAAAAGTAAAAATTGCTCAACTTCTGAGAATTTTTGTATTTCTGAGTCCTCTGTCACAAAATTTCATCGAGTTCCAGTCCAGAATATTTCAGTTTTCAGAGATGAACTGAATTTCTTTCCAGCTTCTTACCTAGAAAAAAAGAGTTGTGTCTTTTTTCAGTGTTCTGATGGTATGACTATTGAAACTAAATTGAAGATACTGAAATAAAAATTTCCCTGGGGCGAAAACAAAGATTGTTAAAAATAACTTGAGTGAGGACATATTACAATCCTAATCAGTTGAAAAGAAATAATAATGATAATAACAACAATCAAAACTATAAAAAGTAACTGGAAATAGCTCGTTTTCGGACAAAGTGCACATTTAAATTGAACAAAGGTCTTGAAGAAACTAGTGGTAGGTATTTAGATAGATTTCTCCCTGCTGCTTCTCAATACTTTGATCCCGAAACATTAAACCAAGTCTCAGCTCTTTGGTTATAAAACAACTCTACTCCTCTTGATTCTCATCCGGAGCAGAAGTGCTCGATTCATACATATTGTGAGCAGAGCATTGGATGTACATGTATCCGTAGTGCATTTTCTGTATACTTTGTCATTTTTTTTAAGTTACAACGTGAAATAGCCAAGTATTTCACCTGTTTTTAAGATCTGGGACATTCCCCGCTTTTTTTTTTAATTAAACAATCTAAAAAACCAAATGGAGGTTTAACGATATGCAGTGAATATTTCTGAGCATTTTAAAAATCCGCTCTCAAGATAATTTTGAATCGGGAACAATCTTCGTTTCTAGACACAAATCAGGTTGTCTGTCAGTGATTTCAGACAAACATTTTCGAACTGTTTTGACCAGCTCCAGATAAGTATTAACACTTAATTCGTTTTAAAAAAACAGTGCGGTGTTAAATGTCAACATATATATGGTGCTTATGTTTGAGAGTTATTTTCCACGATCTGATCACGTATGTCCCTCCTTTGCTGTCCTCATAAAGGTCGTCATGATAATATAAAACACGGTCCACTCCACTCTTTTATTATAGAATATCGCATGCCAGTTATGCGAATGGCAGCTTTTCGTATGCACGACTGTCAAAGAGTCGTCAGTGTATGACTCCGACGGCATGATCGATGTTGATGTTACATCTTAACAACAACAACAACAACAACAGCATTTATTTAAACACGATAAAAAATTCAGCAAAAGCTGATGTGGTCGTGTACGGACAATAAAACTAAATTCCTAACTAAATCCAATAAAACTAAATTCCTAACTAATTATAAGAAGACTAATGTAAGATTTCTACATAATTTTCAACAATAAAAATTCTACATAGTACATCATTATAACATACGTGGCTTAAAAATACACTTGAGTGACTTTTTAAAAGCGTCAACGTCTTGAATTGATCTCATTTGATTTTCCAGAGCGTTCCACCGAGTAATTGACTTGTATGAGCATGATTTCTTGACCATATCGGTCTTAGGTCTAGGTAACTTAAATGTCATTTTCCTCCTGAAGTCGTAGCTACTTACATACTTTTCAAAGTGACGGCTCATAGGACGTGGCAAAAGATTATAATAAGCCTGATGCGCTAAGATTAGTAATCTTTTTCTCATACATAATCTCTAAGGTATTCCATTTTACTGTGGCAAGAACCTCCTTGCTTGGAGTACACCAATCCAAGTTAAATATTATTTTCGCCGCTCTAACATGTATAGATTCTAAGCTTGAGAAAAATACTCGACCACAAGAGCCCCAAACTAACATACCATATGTCACAGACGGCAGAATAACCTTAAAATAGAAATCAATTCTTGCCTGTATAGGAAGAAAATACAAGGATTTAAGTAAATTCAACTTCTGCGTATATGACTTAGCTAATTCCGATACATGATGATCCCATTTAAGAGCATTATCTATCTGAACACCTAGGCATCTTGCAGAAACAACCTCCCCGACAACATAATCACCTA